TTGCCAGGAAAGGAGGTGCACAGTGGTCTGTGAAGCCTTCCCTGCAGTCTTTGACATGCCCTGGAGGCCACTTTCTAATGTGCTTCACCATGTCTAAGCACTGAGTCACACCTGATGAGGACATTCCTGTTCTTCAACAGTGACCAGAATGGTCTGGTTTTCCACTGTTTCCTACTGTGTTGTGTTATGGATTTAATACAGCATAGTCTTAGCAGGGATTTATTTGCATTCTGTCAGAGAATTTCAAGTGCTTTCACATTCTTCTTGATTAGCACACAGCAGAGCAGACCCATGGCTCACTCTTCTCATCTGATAAACTTAGGAGTGCCGCAGTTTCACAGTGGCAGTGGTGCCACTCTGTCTTATTTTTTTTATTGTAATTCATTTATTCACATGTGCATACATTGTTTGGGTCATTTCTCCCCCTGTCTCCCCTCTCCCACCCTCTCCTCCCTTCGTCCCTCAGTTCCAGGCAGGTTCTGTTCTGCCTTTTTTATCACTAGTTTTGTTGGAGAAAAGAGACAAGCATAATAAGGAAGACAAAGTGTTTTTGCTAGTTGAGTTAAGGATAGCTATACAGAAATATTCCTAGCATTGCTTTCATGTACACATGTGTTACAACCCATGTTGACTCATCTCTCACTGATCTTTATCCTGGTTACTGATCCCCTTCTCATCAGAGAAGTAACAGAGGTTACTCTGTTGCTTTAAGGTTTTTGTATTAGTTCCTCTGGAGTGGGGACATCAAACGCTTTCACGTTTTGGGTTTTCTACCTATTTCTATATCACCCATATGTGCTCTCCCCTTGCCGTGTGGTCCCAGTCCAACCACATTGCTGCATTTGCCCTAGATCTAAATCTAAAAGATTTTTGGTCTTCTGAGCTTGGCTGACCTTGCTAAGAATGATGTTCTCTTGTTCCATCCATTTACCTGCAAATGATAAGATTTCATTCTTCTTCATGGCTGAGTAAAACCCCATTGTGTATAAATACCACATTTTCTTAATCCATTCGTCAGTAGCAGGGCATCTTGTCTGTTTCCATAACTTGGCTGTTGTGAATAGTGCTGCAATAAACATGGGTGTGCAGGTGCCTCTGGACTAACCTGTGTCGCATTCGTTTAGGTATATCCCCAAGAGTGGTATTGCTGGATCATATGGTAGATCAATGTTTAGATTTTTAGGAAGTTTCCAAATTTTTTTCCAGAGTGGTTGCACTAGTTTGCATTCCCACCAGCAGCGTACGAGGGTTCCTTTTTCCCCGCATCCTCACCAACACCTGTTGTTGGTGGTGTTTTTGATGATGGCTATTCTAACAGGGGTGAGGTGGAATCTTAGTGTGGTTTTGATTTGCATTTCTTTTATGGCTAGAGATGGTGAGCACTTTTTCATGTGCTTTTTTGCCATTTGAATTTCTTCTTTTGAGAACCCTCTTGAACTTCATGGATATCAAATTCCTTTTTTTTATTACAAATTTTTATTAGAATATATTCATTTTACGGGGGGGATTCATATTGTTAAAGGAGGCAGCAAGTGGGGAGGGGAGACTGTGCAGGGATTGCTTAGTGGGTAGGATACAGCAAATAGGCTTTTATGCCTTCTCATAGAGGTAAGAGGTAGCTGGTGGTACAGCCTTATTGCTGGAGGATCTGAGAGACGAGATGCTTCAATTTTAGGTCAGAAACACTTACCTATTGTTCCTAAGTGCCTCTCTTGGGCTGTAGTGGGGATGTATGGAAATGCATGTAATAGAAGTCACCTGAATGGCTGCATGTGGTATTAGCTGACCATACCCTGACCTTGCCTGCTGTTGCACACAGCAGAGCCTGCATCCTACCTTGTGCTGTGCTTTCACAGGGTGGTCATGGAAGTGGCAATCTAAAGCACTGATCACTACTTAATAGATTTATTATCTACTTTTCTCAGCCCCTTCTCTGCCACATAGCCATACAGTTATTCCCAGTGGTGTGGCCTCCACTTCTGGTTTTTATTCCACGCTAATTCTATTCAGATAGTTTTCCCAACCTAAGACCTGTGCCAGGCCCTCCTGCAGCTAGGGGAAAGGAGAATAGCCTAAAGGTTAAGAACCTGGGCTTCAGAATTGGGTGCAGTTGCTTCCCCCTTGTCATTTGATCATAAATAAATTGCTCATCTCTCTCACTGGTTCCATATAAAATGTGGAGGTAACGCAATCTCAGACTCGTTTTGCAGTTTAAATTAGATAATGGTTGGAAAATCTTGTACTCACTACAAAATGTCACATTTACTGTAATTATTAGAAATTCCCATGCCAAGGGTCAGAGCTGTACTTCCTGCGATAGCTGTTTGCTATAAGGTGCTATTTTCTTCCTGCACAGACTCCACAGTCTGCTTTACAATATAATGACCTGCTGGATGCAATGGCTCACACCTGTAATCCCAGCTTCTCAGGAGACAGAGATCAGGGGAATAGTGGTTCAAGGCCAGCATGCACAAAAAGTTAGCAAGACCTCATCTGAACTTATGGCTCAGTTGTGCTGGGTCAAGTCTGTAATTGAAGCTATGAGGGAAGTGTAGGTTGGAGGATCATAGTCCAGGCTAGCCCCAGAGCAAAAACAAAGACCCTACCTGAAAAATAACTCTAAAAGGAAAAAAGGGCTGGAGATGTGGCTCGAGTGGTAGAATGCCTACCTAGCAAATGCTATGCCCTGAGTTCAATCCTCAGAATTGCAAAATAAATAAATATCATGTAATAACTTTGATGCATGTTAGATATGTGGAGCTTTCCTCTTGGTTTGGCTGATTTTTTTTTCACTTCTTTTAAAAATATTTGCCTTTACTTGAACCAAACACACACACACACACACCTCAATTAGAACAGAATTAAAGACTTTTTACTTAACTGTTCCTCAAACCAAGAGAGTTCTTTTAAATAATAGTACAGAATCATTCATCTGTTTTTCACTCATTTGCCCACAGCTGTTCAGTCCCACAGGCACAGAAATCCTATCCTGCACTTGCACTTCATCTCCAGTCCTCAGAGTTAGAAGAACCAGGGGAACTTCCAGGAAGAAAGAGTGTCCAGCAGGCGATCTAAATAATGAGTAGAACTTGCTAGGCACAAAACACCGTGAGGGAAGGTTTAGAGGCAAGAGAGAATCTGATTTGCAGTAGGGGCTTGGTTCCCTAAGACTGAAGTCCTGCAGCTCTTGGAGGGTGAGGAAAAGAGACAGGGTTGGGGGAAAAAAAAAAAGGCCAAAGTCAGGTTATCTGTGTCTTTCTTACACTCTAAGATGTGTCTGGCACACAAAAATCAGAGAAATGCTTTGTAGTCTCACTACAAGTGAAGCCTGAGGAATTGTACAGAGGGAGAATGGACAGTTTTCACACTACCAAAAATTCCTAGTATTCTATGAGTGGTCATGAATTTGGAGATGTTCAAACATGCATCCCAAATTCTGCAATTCTGTCCCTCCTTCCATTAAAGTGAGTATGGTTACTTGGTAACATCTGGTATTCAGATTTCTATCTTTTTCAAATACCTTAACCTATAATGCCTGGGATTAGTGTAATCCTAAATGTGTGTGGTACATGAAAAGGTAAATTATGTTAAATTATCTGCTTATAAGGGGACAAAAAAATTAAAAAATAAACTAAAATTTTAAAAGATAAAAATCTTTTAATTATAACTTTAATAAAACTTGATTGATTAAAGTATTCTAATATGCTCTATAAGAATAACTAAGATAAACAAGGAGAGAAGCTTATTAATGAACTATAAACTGTCTTTCGTGTCCACTTTTGCATCCTTTGACCATTTTAAGTTTGTTCCACAGGGTGAATAACTCATATCTTTCAGTTCACTTGTGTTCTTATTTTACTACTCATGTATTTTTGGTGTTCCTAGATTTAACAGACAGAAGTCTGTATCTTTAACAGCATGGGGCACATGTTTAATTGATAATGGTAAATTATTGTACACAATGATCATTAAAGAATTTAAATTTCATAATCCAACCCTTCCCAAATTTGACAAGGAAAAAAAAATATTGAAGCAAATGTGTTTCCTTAATAACTGAATGTTACAGAATAATTAACCTGCTACAGTTTCTGAAGATCAAACTGTTCCACTGGCTGTTTCTGTCCAGTGCTGTGCTGTCATAAACATCTACTGAGTGATTCTACAGGGAAAAACAAACTCTGTAGATGGAGAAGCTCTACAGGAAGTGAAACTAACCAAAGGAAGGATGTGTACTAGTTTCATCCTGTGTTTTAGATACACACACATTGTTACATATAAGGAGAGCCCCATAATGCATTTGTTCAGTGTTTTTGCTAAGTGTCCTCTTATAAAGACAACAAACAAAAGCCACTTTGATATGTCAGCTGCTCCCTAAATGAGTTAACATGGACGTAGAAAGAACTCCACAAATGTTAGTGATTAAAATGATTTCATTCTTTACAACTATGCTGATCAATATGGTAACCTCTGACCACATAAGGCTATTGGTTTTCTGAAATACTACTTGTCCATATTGAGATGTGCTCTTAAGTATAAAATGTATACTAAATTTCAGACTTAATAGGGGAAAAAGAATGAAAAGTAGCTCATTAATGATTTTTATATTGACTGCCTTCTAGTTTGGCTATACTGAGTTAAATAAAATGCATTACTAAAATTAATTTCACTTATTGCTTTTTATTGTATTAATCTGATTAGCAACTGGAGAAATTAAAATTACATGTGTGACTTACATTTGATGCTTGCATTCTGTGTCTCTCACACAATGTAGAAGAGCAACAGTACCACAGCCATTCATTGGGGTCTTGATCAGCTAAGAGGAAAGGAAGCAGACCAAATTATAACTGAACAAATATGAACTGTTTACTTACACAAAGTAAATCAATTAGTCACTCATACAAAATTAAAGTTGAATGTGTTTTTCCACGGATGTGTGGTAAGATTTATCTTTAATAAACTACACTTAACATGCTATGTGTAACAAAAATTCCTATTTCTAGGTTACTGGTTGGTTCACCATGGAGTGGCTTTCCTAATAACCAAATGGGAGATGTGTATAGATGCCCTGTTGACCAATCCACTGCTACATGTGAAAAACTCAATTTGCAAAGTAAGTTGTAATTAGCAATGTTAATTTTTAAAAATAGTAAAATCTCATTTGTTATATACTTAACTGAAAAATAACAGCAAAAACAAACCTCGCTTTGTCTTAAAGAAAAGTAGACAACTTTATGCTTTAATCACATGGGGCCAAATAGTATCCAAATTTCCAAAACAGTTTGAAGCCCCAATTTAACAAGATACAAGGGAGATGTGCTGCCTCCAGGACCATGGAGCCCAGACTCATGGAAAGTTTCCATTAACATTTAGAATTATTTTCCCAATTACTTGTAGGAAAATGACTGCCCATATTTCTTTCCCCCTTTCCAAAACAAGCCAGAAACATCAGTTCTAGGGCTGAGTTTGGAGATGCCAAGAAATACTTTGTTTTGGATTATATCTAAATGATTGTATTCTAATAAAAAGTTAACCATTTGGAATTATTTGCTATTTTAATTATCCATGTCTCAGATGCTTTCTATTACAATGCAAAAAATGATGAAACAATCCTAGAAAGTTAAATGACTAATATTTCCACACAGTGTTTCCGGATGCAAGTAAGATGTCATCTATGTGATCATCACATCAGTGGCAGCATCCAGAAAAACCAGTGTTGAGAAGTTAGAGTTTTCCTGAAAAACTGAGGCATAAAATGGGAAAATGCAGTGCTATAAAAAATAAAGGGAAAGACAAGTTTCAAAAACAGTAACTAAGAATTGGAAACACGAGGAATATTTCTTATAGATCTTTATACCTAATTTGTAGCATAACTTCCGACACATGACTGATGTTCAATAAACACATTTCAGTGAGCTGGGAAGAGTGTCAGTTACTGCTACAGGGGTAAACACCTTCGACTTATTTGAGGAGGTTGAGAATGACATAGATCAGTAATTCCCTGAACACTCACCACACATATGTTTTAATAGTAAAAATATATAAATTAGGAGTGAATGTTCACAAGTTTTATTATTTAATTCAAAAGTTTTATTATTATAGGCTGGGGGTCTGGCTCAGTGGTGAGCCTGGCATATGTGAGGCCCAGGGTTCAATTTCCAGTACTGAAAAAAAAAAGTTTTATCACTTCTAATGTATCATATCACTCTTAATTTTTGAACTTACCCCTACTATGTATGTATGCATATGTATATTTATTTTTAAATCTCTATATATGTACTAATGTAGTATCTTCTTAAATAATACATTTACGTTAAAATAGATTTAAAAAATAAAAGCATGCACATAGAAGCTTTATTATTTTTTTCTGCACTCTAGCAAATCATGTTTTGTGTGACTCTCACCTAGACTATAAATCCAGTGGTCCTACTGGGAGAAAATAAAGAATTTAGGAGAGGATGCATAGTGAACAAGTACAAGGAATAAAAGTCCACTTCCCTTTCTAGAAGTTGAATAATGAAGGAGAGAGCTGAGAAAAACAGTCCTATGAAACAATAAGATTGAGAGAAGAACACTCTAGAAAAAAGAGATGGTTTTATTTGTAGGAAAGTGACAAAAAAGGAGTGACTAGCAGTAAAGGACAAATTTAACTGGATGAGATTAATGTCACTGGTACCTGGGAAAAAGAGTGTTACAAAGAATGCTCCCTTCTCTAAGACAGAAAGAAGAGAAAATGTTGGAGTTCTAGGAATGATCCTCATGTAGTTATGACAGTAAGTTGAAGTTACCGTTAGAGTGATTCTTTTTCCCTGTAGTATCTGAGTTATTCATTCACTAAGAGTGACAGGGCCTGGTTGAGTTGAAGACTTGAAAAGAAGGGTGAAATAAGTCACCAAGAGAAATGAAGGAAGGAGTCAAGCTAAGGAAAATGAAGTGACCATGATGGCTTGGCTTGGATGAGTAAATGGTATTATTGAGGAGAATTGCAGTCTTCAATCTTTCAAGAACGGTGTCAGCCACTGTATCGGGGGAGAGAGAATATTGGAGAGAGTCCTTTCTTGTTTTACCTGGCTGGTTTCATGATTTTCTTTTAAAATTCACCCACTTCTTTCAGCCAGATTCAATCAAATGGCATTCTTTAAGGGCATTTTTAACATTCCAGATAAAAAGAAGCATTGGGTACAACCAAGTGATTGGAACAAACAAAAGTGGCAAACAGAAACAAGTGGTATCCTCACATTGTTTTGTTTGGTCAGGACTTTATTTTTTAAAAATGGCTTTAAATGTCCTCTCTATCCTGTGCCCTAATATCTTCAACTCTGCAGCTTCATACACTAGAATAAGCTGCTGGATCACTCACTGAAGGCATTCTCTACACTGCATTGTGTAACGCCAGCTCCTGGATGTATAGTATTAAAGCAGTCAATGTTATGTAAAATATGTGTGTGCCTGTTTGTTCATTTGTTTAAAAAAGCATTAAGTAAATGGCAAAGATTTAATTACATTTTAAAATCTCTTTCCCTCTGAAAGCTTCAACAAGTATCCCAAATGTTACTGAGATAAAAAACAACATGAATCTTGGCTTGACCCTAACGAGGAACGTGGGAACCGGAGGGTTTCTTGTGAGTGTTAACCTCTCAAATCCTCTTTCCTTTGCAGAAAGTTTTTAGTCAGCATCTTCTCACCATCCTTTCCCATCAAATCACATCTGGACATTTAAACACTAGAGCGTGCTTTTGGATCAGTTATGCTATTTGGATATCTAATGCAAAACAGCAATCCCTTCATGTATAGACTTTTTAGATATTCAGCAAAACCATTATCACAAAATTCTTTCAGAAAAAATGGGGAAGAGAACAAAAAGAACTCTTGATTTTTTGTCCTTGGAAGGTGTGCTTAGTAACTTTTTTTTTCTTTGGTACTAATGTTTGAACTCAGGGCCTCATGCTTGACAGGCAGGCGCTCTTTCACTTGAGCCATGCCACTTGTAGCTGTTGATAACATCAAAATTCCAGGTCTCATTTCTCCTTTCTGAAGGAACATTAAAGCTAGGCACTGTTAATCCTAAACATTACTCGAAAGTATTCTAAAGTGTTTTTAATCCCTTGCTATAATGGTTGGTTAATCTGATATTATTGAAGGCATGGTGCTTTCTTTGCTTGTACTCTCAATTTCTAAAATGCTATGAAAAGATATCATAAATCAATAAAATAGAATGCCTATTTATCAAGCGGTCTGAACACAATTAATTGGTTAACAATTCATATATCCAAATAAACTTTCAAGTGAATTAAACAACTCATATAAAAAATGGAAATACTCTGAAGGAAGGAAGAATTTTAGAACTAATAGAAGAAATACTATAGGAAACTGCTGAAATGATTTGGCTGTAGAAAAAAATGGTAACCATCACACACCAAAAAAAAAAGTGGAAAGGCAAATAAAAACTCAATCTTATTTGAAATTTGCATTGGCTCATGTAGGAACAGCCTCAGTGAATAACCCTAATAAAATTGTCTTAGAAAACCCATTTAACTTTATGCTAATTTTATCTATGCCACTGGCATGTTATCTTAAAAGACTGGATTGTTTTAAAAAAAAAAAAAGTAACCAATTTTGAACTATGCCAGATATTTTGAACAGATATTTGTATTCAGAAAATTTTATTATGACTAAGTACATCAAATATTGTTTTTAGTATGTGTTCCCTCAGCATGAAAATGAATATTGGAAGGGCTTTTCATAGTTTATGATTTACAAAATCTTTACAATAGAGTTTATTTCATATTTTTTGTTTAATTTAAAGTTTCAGTAAGACCCAAGAGGAACATATTTAGAGAAAAGGATTATAGATTGTACCTCTAGATTTAATAAAATGAAATCAGAAAAGAATTTGAGAGGTTAATTTAACAGTCAATGTAACAAGAAGAGAAAGAGAAAAAGAGACAAAGAAGAAAAAAAAGCAATATTTCCTTTACACACTTGAAATGTCAAAAGCAAAATCATAAGATACTCTTAAATATTATGTGGAAAAGACTGACAATCATCACATTTTTTTGAACCTTCTTAAATTCTGGGCTTAAAGCAAAAATGTTCTGGCATTAACTATTGGCATATTCTAATTTCAACTGCTTAATGCAGTTTTCCATTGCCTACAAAACAAAAAAATTATTCTTGCATACTTCATGAGTTATTTTTCAAAGTAGCAGTGCAATGTAGAAATCAATAATTGGTACATATTATTGGTTAAACTAGCCAGAAGTGTCAATAATGACTTTTTCCTAACTAACTGGTAAATGCACCCGTTTTATAGAAGAAAAACTATGCTTCATTCATTGAGCATGAAATATGACCACAGCTGCTTCTAACTATAAAGCTACTAACTTAAACTGGGTCAAATAAGTTCCCGTTTGTTTTACAAATTTCTTCCTGCAAGTCCACTTTTTTCTTTCAGTTTTAATAACTGATCTTTACATAAGGTCAGTGTTTTAGCCAATGCTTTACATAACGTTAAACTCTTTAGACAACTTCTAGTATCTTCACTAGGCTTCTCGTTCCCACTTTTCTCCTTTCCATCTAATAATTTTAATATTATTTAAACTGTTTCCCACATGCTTTAATCAAGACGTTCTTGGCATTCATTCAAGGGCTGATGGAAAGGAGAGAACTGGGATTGTGTTAGTGGTCATATTCATAATTGGAGTGTGGATACTGTGGGCAAGGAGACAAGTGCCAGCCAGGTTTGTGGCTGGATAAATTACAAAGTGGAAGTAAAGGGTTTTGAAATCCTCAAAGTAAAGAAATATTTTATAGGAAAGTTAAAAACTGGTAGCCTGAGAACCTCATTTGTGTTTGGTTATCTTTAAAAAAACAAAACAAAACACACCTCTTTTGAAGGACTGGAGGCATGGCTCAACTGATAGAGTGCCTGCCTAGTAAACACAAAGCCCTGAGTTCAAACCCAAGTACGACCATAGATAAATATATTCCTTTAAAAAGTTTTTATTAGCATAAATAAATTGTACAAAAGAATTTTATTGTGATATTTACAACTTGCATACAATGTACTTTGACAAAATTCACCCCATCTGTGTTACCCTCCATCCTACAGAATGTCTTTTTTTTAAGTGTGGATTTTCACACACAATTTGCCCTTTGTGACTCTTAGAAAATCTAGGAGTCCTGTTCCACAGCAGTGGATGGGATGGGTAACTGACAGACAAAAGATCAACTTTGCACTCAGTTTCTTGTTAGTTGTTCTCTAAAAGGAAAGTGCCTTTCTCTAGCTTGGTGGGTGACCGGGTGGGCTCTTTCCTTCACTGATACGGGCCCTAAAAGTCCCATGACCCTCCTCCTGGGAGGCCTGCCACTGGGCACAGAGCATCTGCACCTTCTCCATCTCTTCTGCCCTCCCAGTGGATTCTCACTCAAAGGCATTTTTGATTAGTTTTAAGAGTTGGTAATTCCTGGTATCTTGGAAAAAAATACAAATGATTTCCTAGTTCTCTAAATGGAAGGGTGAAAGGTTAGCATTTCTTGTGTGTGACTATTTATCATTTTCTTCTTTCTTTGAAGACTTGTGGTCCTCTATGGGCACACCAGTGTGGGAATCAGTATTACACAACTGGTGTTTGTTCCGACGTTAGTCCTGATTTTCAGCTTTTGGCCAGCTTTTCACCTGCAGTTCAGAGTAAGTCGTGAATCTACAGAAGACGAACAATGCCTTTAAAGAGGGGAGGTGGATTTTTATCAAGTCCCAACCAAACCCTCTGTCTCATTTTTATGTGACTATGAAGTTTGACTTACTAATGGAAATCTGCTGTTTTTTTCTTCTCCTGTGTAGCCTGCCCTTCCCTCATAGATGTTGTGGTTGTATGTGATGAATCAAATAGTATTTATCCCTGGGAAGCAGTAAAGAATTTTTTGGAAAAATTTGTACAAGGCCTGGATATAGGTCCCACAAAGACACAGGTATGGACATTGAAGTACATAAACTAAACCATGGCTTTCTTTCCGAGAAAATAATTTCAGATGTAAAGTATTAATTTTTGCATTTGCCAAATCTTCATATTTATTTATTTTTTCTTTATTCATTTATTCACATGTGCATACATTGTTTAGGCCATTTCTCCCCCGAACCCACTACCTCTCCCCCCAACTCCCTTGCTTCCAGGCAGAACCTGTTCTGCCCTCTTCTCCAGTTTTGTTGAAGAGAAGACATAAGCAATAATAAAAAAGACATAGTGTTTTTGCTAGTTTGAGATAAGCTTTTCAGAGCAATTCCTAGCATTGCTTCCATGCACATGAGTATTACAACCCCCACTGTTTCATCTCTAGCAGACCTCTTCACTGCTTCCTGGTCACCTTCCCATAGTGGCCTCTGTAATTTTAAGGTTACTGTATTAGCTCCTCTGCAGTGGGTACATCAAACACTTTAAAGTTTTGGGTTTCCTACCTTTCCCTACTCCTCCTGTGTGTGTTCTCCCCTTAGCGTGTGACCCGTGTCTAATAATATTACTACATTTGTTTTAGATCCAAAGTCCACATATGAGGGAGAACATAGTGTTTTTGGCTTTCTGAGCCTGGCTAACTTCGCTTAAGATGATGTTCTCAAGTTCCATCCATTTACTTGCAAATGATAAGATTTCATTCTTCTTCATAGCTGAGTAAAATTCCATTGTGTATAGATACCACATTTTCTTAATCCATTCATCAGTAGTGGGGCATCTTGGCTGTTTCCATAACTTGGCTATTGTGAATAGTGCTGCAATAAACATGGGTGTGCAGGTGCCTCTGGAGTAACCTGAGTCACATTCCTTTAGGTATATCCCTAGGAGTGGGATTGCTGGATCATATGGCAGATCTATGTTTAGTGCTTTAAGAAGCCTCCACATTGTTTTCCAGAGTGGTCATACTAGCTTGCATTCCCACCAGGAGCGTATGATGGTTCTTTTTTCCCCCTGCATTCTTGTCAACATTTGTTGTTGGTGGTGTTTTTGATGATAGCTATTCTGACAGGGGTGAGGTGGAATCTTAGTGTGGTTTTGATTTGCATTTCCCTTATGGCCAGAGATGGTGAGCATTTTTCATGCTTTTTGGTCATTTGAGTTTCTTCTTTTGAAAAAGTTCTATTTAGTTCAGTTGCTTATTTCTTTATTGGTTCATTGATTTTGGAGGAGTTTAGGTTTTTGAGCTCCCTGTGTATTCTGGTTATCAGTCCTTTGTCTGATGTATAGCTAGCAAATATTTTCTCCCACTCTGTGGGTGGTCTCTTCAGTTTAGAGACCATTTCTTTTGTTATGCAGAAGCTTTTTAATGTCATGTAGCCCCATTTGTCCATCCTTTCTCTTTGTTGCTTAGCTGGGGTTCTATTGAGGAAGTCCTTGCCTATACCTATTGCTTCTAGAGTATTCCCTGCTCTTTTTTGTACTAGCTCCAGAGTTTCGGGTCTGATATTAAGGTCCTGGATCCATTTTGAGTTGATACTAGTAAGAGTGCTAAACATAGATCTAGTTTCAGTTTTCTGCAGGCAGATAACCTCTTTTCCCAGCAACATTTGTTGAAGAGGCTGTCTTTTTATGTTTTTGGTGTCTTTTTCAAAAATAAGTTGGGAATAGCTGTGTGGATTCATATCTGGGTCTTCTATTCTGTTCCACTGGGCTTCATGTCTGTTTTTGTGCCAGTCCCATGTTGTTTTTATTGCTATTGCTTTGTAATATAGTTTGAAGTCGGGTATTGTGATATCTCCAGTATTGCTCTTTTTGCCGAATATTGCCTTGGCTATTTGTGGTCTCTTGTGTTTCCAAATGAACTTTAAGGTAGATTTCTCATTCTCTGTGATGAATGTCATTGGGATTTTGATGGGAATTGCGTTGAACGTGTAGATTGCTTTTGGTAGTATAGCCATTTTTACTATGTTGATTCTACCAATCCATGAGCATGGGAGATCTTTGCACCTTCTGTAGTCTTCCTCGATCTCTTACTTCAGAGGTTTGTAGTTCTCCTTGTAGAGGTCATTCACATCCTTTGTTAAGTTTACTCCTAGGTATTTGCAAATCTTCATATTTAATGAGTGTCATGGTAACCTTGAAAGTAAATAGAAACTTGTAATGCTAATGGTTATTATTCTACATATGAAGTTGTCCCATGCTGTTGCCCTTAGAGTTTTACTTCTGATGCAGACATCAGAAGGATGCAGGCATTATTGGATGTAATATGTCCAAAGAGTATGTTCTTTTAGTTGTCTTATTTTAGCCCATCTAACCCATGAGTTCATATACACTTTAAAATTGGTTATGCATTTTTTCTTTATGTCCATTTGGATTAATAATACATTTCTTTTGTTTACTCCTTGCTGGTAAAACAATTATCTTTGAATTCTGGGAATTCTAAAAATAAATCATCAAGCATAATTCTACCATTTATTGTATCACAGTCTTTTAGCACTCTAGTCTAGTCTATATTTTATACAAGATTAAGTTTTTCAATAATTTGTTATAGCTCTCTATGTTTTAAGAAGGCTTTTATATCTTTTTGAGGTCAGCAACCAAAATTTGACAGCAGAAGGTTCATGCTTCTGTAACAAGATTGAAGAGCAGTTATTTTTAAAGTATCACCTATATTCCCAGATCTCAGGAGGCTGAGACAGGGGAATCTCTCAATACCAGAAGTTTAAAATCAACCTGGGCAATAGCAAGATACCATCTTTAAAATAATAGGCTCCATTCCTGGGTTTCTTCTCCTTGCCCTTGCTTCTTCTTCTTTTTTTCATTTCTGATTAGATCTACCATTCCTGGATCATTCTGGCTGTAACAGCACATTGAACCAAAATCAGTAGATAGAAGTTCACACAATTACCAGTGTATGTTCTTGGGCTCCATCTTCTTCTCCAATATCCCACATCTTGTTGGAATATTTTCCCTATATGCTTTTCTGATTCCCTATATAATATTATAAAATATTGATGTTCCTTCTAAATACTAAGGGACCATAATATCTGCTGAAGTGCTGGAAGTTTCACTCTTAAGTTTTTACCAGAAATTTTTGTTTACTAAGACTTGGCATGGCTTTGGTTTCTGGAGAACAACATAAAGCCCCTTATGAGAGAAGTTTTTTTTGTATCTGCCGGTTTTCTCTGTTTCTAATTGGCTAAGTCCTCTATCCCATCACACAACCACTTGGGTTGTGTCTAATATAAATTTCACATAGAATCATGGACTTTTCTTCTTTTTACGAGGTAAATGTGACCTTTCTATGAGTTTTAATATACACCATGTCTTTAAATCTTCCTTCTGTTTTCTCACTCAGAAGCTCTGGGGCTGTGTCTCTGGGTCACTTTTACACCATCTTCCTCTCACATTAGACTTTGAAACCTGCAGAGTTATTGTTGATTCTTCCCTGCTTCTCAAGTTGTACATCCTAGCCTAAAGAAAAGGGTACAGGGACATTATATTTCTCATAATCTTCAGTGCCTGGTGAACTGCCTCTGAGCCTTTTACCACTGACATGCTACTGCCATTTCCTGTTCTTAAAACTCTTTCCCCTAGGCTCACAAGATGATTCCAAAACTTGAGGATCTTGATAGAAGGGTGTGACCTTGAGCTAAAGAGTTAGACAATGATCCCAAACTTCTTGTTCAGAAGTCCCACTCAGATCTTTCACCTAAGATTCTCTTTAATGACATTTTCTCTAAAAGTCATAAAATTCCCTGCCCCCCATTCACATCCATCAAATTTCCTCCAGAGATGCTCAAGCCCGTACTAAAGGAAATCCATCACGGTAAATAAATCCAAATTGACTATACTGCTTAAGAATCCATTGGCTTTTCTTGTGTTCAGTTCTGATCCTTTGTTACATAATTACCTCAATAAGCTACTACCCTCCATCTGTGACTGCTTATAGTTGTTTGCAACAATATATCTACTGGTATTTTGAAAGTTTATTTATACCTATTTTAATTTTTCTGTCATAAACCTGTTTCAGTATTCATCAATATTAAGTATTATAAGGTAATGCTTAAAAATCTGTAATTATTACTCCTGAGAACCAAATCAAGCTGTAGTACATAATCTTGCCTGACAGTACAGTATTCCTATTGCATACTGATAGCCTCTCACAGATTTCATTCCACTGAAAGAAACATATCTATCAAGAGCAAAATTGGAAATGATTCCTTTAACCCATCAGCCTATTTAAATATACTTTTGAATATTAATATATTGGTTATATAGAAATTATTTACAACTTGATGACAGACCATTAATAAACTTCTGCTCTTTTGAAGGTGGGGTTAATTCAATATGCCAATAATCCAAGAGTTGTGTTTAACCTGAACACCTTCAAAACCAAAAATGAAATGGTTGCAGCAACATCCCGGACATATCAGTATGGTGGGGATCTCACAAATACTTTCAAAGCAATTCAATTTGCAAGGTAAGTTTCGATGCTAAAAGTGCCAACAAGTAAGAAAAATAAAGGAAAAATAGGACTAGAACCCACACTTAAATCAGAATGAATGGAGAAAAAATGTCCAAGCATACTGTGACTTGAATACTCTAAGAAGACACTTAGGAAATGAGGTTAAAATCTTTTTTATAAAATATAACTTGACTTTAGGTGATTTTACATGAATTAAATGAAATGAGAAAATCTTAGGTTAAAATACTAGGGAATGAAGCAATCCATCATGATTATTTCATACCTATCAGAACTTCAGAGAAATTAAGGTAAAGGTGTATTTTGTGCAAATTAACATGTGCACATAGATCTGAATAAACCAAATCAGCTTATTATGCTTATTACAACATGTGGGAAGTGTGGATTTTAAAACTGCATGGCATTCTTCACATTCTTATCTTAGTTTCTTCATTTACAGCTCCATGACCTTCATTCTATTTTAACTGGATATTTTGCAAAAATACTAAACACTCTTCTATTGTTAGAAAATAAGTGAGAACACTCATTCATTAAACCTACTTCCTGCCAATTTTATCTTGTTCATTAACCTATTTCTTTCTGTGTATTTACACTCACTTTCTCCCCTTCCTTGAAACCAAGCATGGCTGCTGAGTCACCCAGCCCAGGAGTCTTGCCCGTGGCCTCATCCTCCCTAGCTCCTCTGAAGTCTGATAAGGATGAACACTGCAAACTTCTGGTGTCCATGCCAATGTTTTGTCAGTAACTTTTGCATCTTCACTTGTTCCTTCTCCTATTTTTCTTCATTAAAAAGATCCCTCTCTTCTTCATAGTTTTTCTCTTTAGTAATTGTGTCCCCTCCCTTGGCTTCAGTATCATCTCTACATGGTCCATCCCATTGCTGTATCATCAGCACTGAACTCTCTCCTCAAAGTCATACAGGTGTCTAGCTGATGCTGAATATCTTTATTTGAAATGTTGTCTCTCTTAGGAAATTCAAAATGTCCTAAAGCAGCTTTATTCCTTTCCCTTATGACTTTGCCATTTTTTTATTCATGCCTGTTCTCCCAGCAATGCAGGCAAAAACTTACTGGTGTTTGCTTTATTCTTCCCACTCCTCCTTAGATTGTGATCTGGTCAGTCACCACATCCTGCCATTTCTATTTCTGTGTTTTCCGTTATATCTGTCCCCTCCTTCTTCTCTATGTATATTTTGGTTGCTGCTTCTATCACTTGGTGATTCTCCTCACATCTCAAAAGTAGATTCCCCATAAGATATGATTGATTTAATCTTCCCTATTTCTAGTAAGGTGTCCCTTTATTCCTGACCATCTCATAAGCTATTGGCGAGTTAATAGGTTAGCTGTCATTAGGTGAAGTGGATTGCCTGGTCAAGTAAACAAGACTTAAGGAGAAAGTATATGAGTGAGATGACACAATAGCCTAAATACCCAATAATGAGGAACAGGTGGAATAAACTGATGTCTCTAAATAATGAAATATCATGTAGCCATTTAAAAATGAAGGTTTTATATATGCTAATGTTGGAAGATTTCCATCTTCTCTAGAGGGAAACATAAGAAACTGAGAATAGTGGTTACTTGAAAAGAGGGCGTAGTATCACATTTTTGTTTATACCCTTTCAAGTAGTTTAAATGTATTCTTATTACTCTTTTTTAAAAATAATTAAATCTAGAAAAAGTAAACACAGGTGTAGTGAATAAAATTTATGATAAATATCTTAGATCTGGTGATAAGTATTAAATGAATTTAGATTTCTTATGTGAAAATATTTTAAGAAATGATGGGGTGAAGTCACACATACACAGCATGATGTCTGTAAAATTATCTCTAATTTCAAGCAAGAATTTTATTTTTATATGTCTCTCTACAAACTACAAATTGGACACTCTTAAATATGGCACTAAGCACTGACATGGAGAGAAATTCTAACTCACAATATATTATGCTTAAAGAAGCTAATTTGTTAATTCTGTTTCCAGATAGATGTGCACAAATGAACTTCATGCTTAGATAATGAATCTTTAATTTTATCTGCCACAGAGATTTCGCTTATTCAGCAGCTTCTGGTGGACGACGAGGTGCTACCAAAGTAATGGTAGTTGTAACTGATGGTGAATCTCATGATGGGTCAATGTTGAAAGATGTGATAGAGCAATGTAATAATGACAATATTCTGAGATTTGGCATAGCAGTAAGTGGCTTTTCCTTTACTTGTCTTGCAGTTGATGGGTCAACAACGCCTTATAGCATCACTTTTCAAGTCCCTACTTTCTCATTGGCTGTTCAAAGTTTATGATTAAATACTGTTTACTATCTCTCTTCTTGCCGATCTTCAGTCCTGTCAATTAAATAGAGGGTTGTGGAAATGTTGCTTGATTCACTTCTCCAGACTAGATTGTGGTAATAGGAAAACTGGTGTACAGCAGGAATGAGTGACATTTTTTGCTCTTCCTCTATTTTAAGGTTCTTGGGTACTTAAACAGAAATGCCATGAATACCAAAAATTTAATAAAAGAAATCAAAGCAATTGCTAGTATTCCAACAGAAAGATATTTTTTCAATGTGTCTGATGAAGCAGCTCTACTAGAAAAGGCTGGGACATTAGGAGAACAGATTTTCAGCATTGAAGGTAAAAGAACTTCTTTCAAAAATGATTTTTGAGAATTTGTTATTTTATTATCATAAGCTTGTATGAACATTAACTTGTATAGATTGCATTTTAAAAGTCATATAAACACAATAAATGTCAATAAACATCAGAAAATATTCTCAACTTTAGTTATCATTTAAAAATATAAATTCAACCACTTTTATGTCTTGTCTAAAATATGCTTTTGCACAAATCAATACTGTTTAATCTTACAGCTATTATTCAGAAGCAAGGAGGCTCATATATATTGCTGATAAGGTGATAGGTTATTAGAAATTTTTGAGGGAATAACTTAATATCTATTATAATCATAAACAGCTTGTTGGTTTACATTATGAAAGTAATTTTGGAAATTCTTGAATTTTTTAATAAGCATATATACTTCTGAAATTAATAATACAGTGAAATTTTTTGATAGTTCAGTATGGGAAAATATTTCATTTAATGTACCTACAATCATTCACTTATGTAGGATTGGATAGTCTAGTCACTGTAGAAATATCACATAGCCATGAATTCACTATGTGGAAGTCTGAAACATACTTTAAACTTGGTTAAAAGTTCCACATGACCCAAATCCTGGTTCCACATAGTTAATTAACCCAAATAACTCTTAACATTAAAGAGGGCATTTTATTGAGCACTCACATATTAGGTACTGCCTTCAAAGTTGGGCTCAAGGGGTCTGCATAAGTTAAGTGTTCATTGCTATAGTCAATTTTGATCTCCTGATTATCCACTGGAAATTTCTATCCAAAAAATTTATTTTTCTTAAATCTCTTATAATTCTTCTAAGTTTCTTAAATCATCACAAAAATCTAATGTTCCCTGAGATAATACAAAATGCTACTCAATTTATTGATAATGGCATGAATAATGGCATGATCTAAAAGCTGGCGATCAAGGATTTTGTACACTATATGCTACTATAAACTTTTGAGGAACACACCTTTACTTTGTGAAAAATTACCTCTGCTCATCCAGTATTACATTTTTTAAAAAAGACTGTCCTGTATAGTTTCTTCTTTCTGTATTAAAGTATCTGTCCTGGAATACAGCTTCCTTTATGTGAACATTAGTGAAATGCAACCATTTTGACCACAACCTCACTATACAGAAAACAAGTGTTAATGGAGTCTTATGGTGTTAGTGACAGAGGTAAGGACATATGTACAACTACAACCAACTTTCAAATTGGCAAAATTCCCACTCAGTCTTGAATCCTGAGTCCTGAAAATAAACCCAAATATTTTTTGGTGTATTTTTCCCTGTAATTTTCTAGCTCTTCCAACTGCATCTGAGGTATTTGTGCATTAGTTGTACAAACATTTAAAAGCTAAACTTTCAGTTAATTTCTTAACTAGTAATGACAAATTTAAAGAAAACCATGACTTCAGTTTTCACCTTACTTCATACCTTTCCTTTGTTAAGGGTTCTTTAATATCAGGGGCGTCATAAGTATTCCATTAAACAGATTAGTGCTTAATTAAGATTAAAACCAACTTTGAACACTACCTTGAACTTTTTCTTAGTGACTTCCTCTTCCTGAAATACTCCAGTTCCATATTTTTGGGTGAATGTCAGAACACTATGTGTGTGTTGCGTGTGTGTGTGTCCCCATGTTTGGAAACTTGATTTAAAATTTCTGACAGTAATACAATTTTTGAAACTGATTATTTCCCAGGTACTGTTCAAGGAGGAGAAAACTTCCAGATGGAAATGTCACAAGTAGGATTCAGTGCAGACTACTCTCCTCAAAATGTGTGTATATCAGATAAATTTAAGCCAAACTGATCAGACGTAATATTTCTAGACACAGTAACTTATACATAAAGTAGGAAAAACAGTTATCTGTGACCACCAGTTCTAATTCCTGGTCACAGTCTTCAGGCATTTTTGTGTTGCTGACTGACCACCTAAAAAAATAAAGGTTAATAACACCTTTTCTTCCCTATTTCAAAGAGATTTTCTATGGGGGATAAAAGATAAGCAAGGAAGGCCTTGAGGGCTCCAGGACAGAGGTTCTATATTAATTGCCGGTATTACCCCTGCAGGAATTTCTTTTGAATCAATTAACCTCTATAACCACTTGTCAAAACACAAACTCTTCTTATTGATGACATCGTTGCATTCTGGGGTGCAATGGTATCTTTTTCTAAGAGCTGAGATCGAAAATAGTTGAAAAAAGAAGGAGTTAGGAAAAATGTAAGATGGGATTGGAGAATGCCACTGTCTTCTTAGCTCAGGGAAATTCGTTCATTTTCCTCAGAAATATCCAACTCCAGGCCTCTAGTCCTAATTCTACTCAGGATATGGGTGGAGTAGTGAAAGTGCAAAATGATCTGAGGCCCTGGAAAATATTTAGGGAATAATGTGAATTCAGAGAATTTGATAAGCAGATCCAAGAACCAAAACCAGCTCATTTTCTGTATAGAATAAAAGGTACTGACATTTTCTGGATTACAAATCTTTACAGATGCTCATAAAAATTATGACTTTTCCCATAAAAAATGTAAATGAATTTACACTCAGAGAATTTTGTGCATAATTCCATGAGGTTTTTCTACACTCCCTGGAGCACATTCATGTACCCCAGTTCAAAGTCCTTGATTTTATTATACTCATTCACACAACTTCATGGTTTCTTTTCATTGGATAGGACATATTATTTCCCTGTTTGCTATCATGTTTTCTAACATCTATGATCAAAAACTTAGCTGTTAGAAAATATCTCTTATTCTTACCAAGCCTTCATTCTGCAGTGATTTATAGCTTTGGATGTTCAAATTGGATTTGAGACAATTCAGATAGCCTGTTTCCTTCACCCTCTCTCCCAGGGCTGACCTACGCTTATTTTCCTTTCAATAGATTGACTTGTCGTAATTACAATTGCCTTTTCTAGCTGTGCTATTATCAAATGGATTGGTTATAGGAATACAGATGTCAGAAAGACGTTTGAGAATGACTCAAAAAGAGAGAAGAAAGTTGAAAATAGAATAGATAAGTCAGAAGAGGGTGTCCTAAGATGTGCCTTAGAAAAAAACATCATCTCCCTTCTCTGGGGTTAGCCCTTCCTGTTGTTGAAGGTAGTGTTTTTGTCTCAATGAGTAGGTAGGACTGAAAGCTTACGTCTGACTCCTTTCCAGCAGCTCCTGTGGGGCATTTGCAAATGTATGCCTTTGAATAGAAATTTGAAGATGGCTATGAAATCATCATGTATTGCAGTTTATTGCAAAGATTTACTTATATATCATAATAAGTACATCCCAAGATAGCATAGTCCACAGTAAGCTTATTCTCCAGTACAAATTTATGAAAACAATTCTGAGATATATCAACATACATTCACATATATTTTACTTCATTGTGCTTATTTTCTTTAATCTAGACAATATGTTTCAATGTTTTGCCTGTTCTTCATGTGTATGCATTAAAGGTCATTTGTCTTATTAATCTTCATTTCTCAATTATTTAAGGACATTCTGATGCTAGGTGCAGTGGGGGCTTTTGACTGGAGTGGGACTGTTGTCCAGAAGACATCTCATGGACAATTGATCTTTCCTAAACAAGCATTTGACCAAATTCTGCAGGATAGAAATCACAGTTCATATTTAGGTAAGACATGGCAGCATTTGGCTCAACAGTCTGAAGTTTGCTTTCTTTAAACTCCTTGTTGAATCTCAGGATCACATCAGCAATGCCTCTGAACTTTCCTCTAATTAACATATTTATTTTTCAGATAGACGTTACCTCTTTGCCAGTCAGTTCCTAGCCCATAGTGTTTGTACTTAACTAGGAACACTGCTTCCTCTGGCCATTCAATTGGTTGTAATTCCCAGAACATGACTGTGCTCCTCAAAAATGAAAGTAGTTTCTAAAAGTCATACATTGAGCGGTAGTCTTTTATTACTTAAGAGTTCTTAGTTTTTGTTCCTGTGGTAAGTATCCACTGATTTTTGAGTGTCTACTCAGGGAGCACTTCCTGAGTTGGTTGTTCTGTATAAGTAAACCTTTAAATCTTTCCAACAACACTTTGAACACCATTTTACCTCTAAGAGCCAGCTGGTTAATACCTTGGCTCAAGTTAAACAACCCAGTAAGTAGCAAAAATCCCGTATTTGAATCTGGGGCTGTCTAGAAACTCCATGGCCTGTGTTCTGTCCACTATGCAAACTTACCTTTTAATTTCATTTAATATTTCAAGTAATATTTGTTGAGTGCCAAGTTCATAGGTGGCCGATGAAAACAAACAAGAATCAAGGGCCAGCTTTATAGTTGAGGCCCTGCTTATGCTGGACAGTGCTACAAGTGAAAGGCAGGAACAGTTCATCTTAAATAAGGAAGACATGTCCTCAGTGATGCACTCAGAAGCACTAGAGACTGTGTATCACATGCAACATAAAAGGACCTCTGATCATCTCTACTAACTTTGCAAGCTTTATCCAGCTGAGATATTCAGTGGCACTCACTTTATGACTCCTCTCCTAGGTTACTCTGTGGCCGCGATTTCTGCTGAAAAAGGTGTCCACTTTGTTGCTGGTGCTCCTCGGGCAAATTATACTGGCCACATCATTCTATATAGTGTTAATGAGAATGGCAATGTCACAGTTATTCAGTCTCACAGAGGGGAGCAGGTAAGTATCATTACTTGGCAGAAAAATTAACTTTATGGACAACTGGGGTAAGTGGAGAGTTGGATGGGTAGGAAATAGGAACTAATATTTGTTGAGTGTCACCTCTGTGTTTGGCGCCATAATCTGATTTTGCTTATGTAGCAAATCTTAAATCTTTACAACAGTACTGGAAGATCTTTTGACAGTTCATGGAGAGTTTTGCTAACTGTCTAAGATCACACGGTTTTAATGTAGTTAAGCTGTCATTAAAACCAATCTCATCTGGCCTCATTGCCTGTGCTGTTTGGTGACATCCCAGTCTATATTTTTGACTGTCCACGTTAGTGAAAGATGGACATTATTTAGCCATGATGGCAGGCACCCAACCATGGCTCTGTTGCCAAGCCCATAGTAAGAGGCAAGGATCTGGAGGAGAAGTAATGAGAAGAAAGGAACAGTATAATACCATAAAAACTGAGCTTGTGCAAGGTGCTTGAACTTGGGCCTGTCAAGGTGCTCTGTTGGCTTTGATATTTTCTAAAATCAAACAACTTTCTTCTCTGTCACTTTCTACTGATGTATGGCCATTTGGAAGTCAGACCCCAACACAAATCCCAGTATGGCCAACTATAGCAAAGGCTTGTTGCCAAAGGACAGCTGGTTGGTTCCTGTTTCCTTTCTAAGCAGTTGTGACCCATGGACCCATTTCAAATAACATCATTGATCCCTGACAACCAACACAAAATGATTTGCTTCTCTGAGTCAGAAAAACTAACCACAGATTTCTCTTCTCCTCGATTAGGTCTGATTCCATTGTTACTGTAGATTTTCCAGGAGTGAGAAAATGAGTTCTTGACTTCCTTGACCGTGGACAAGCTCTTATCACATTTTCCCCTCCTCTTTAATATTTTTAAAGAAGTGTATTACTATTTTGAGAAAAATGGTGACTGTGATATGAAATGAATCATTTCTTATTAATTCTAAATTCTTTGGTTTTGGTTTTTTTTATTGTTGTTTTGGTTTTTTTTTTTTTCTTTGTTTTGGCAGGACTGGGCTTTGAGGTTGGAGCTTTGTGCTTATTAAGCAGGCATTCCATGGCTTGAGCCATGCCTCCATCCCATTAATTCCCAAATTCTTGAGAAATGTTCACATAGGCATGCACTGAACACTGCTGAATGGGATGAATGTTCAGTTTCCCATCCTCTGTTATTTTATTTTGTCTCCGCCTCGTTCTCCCATCCCAAGCCATGTGGTAACTACTCACCTGTCTTGGACCAGGCCATGGAGTCATGTCATTCATGCCTTCCCATTTCTGTCCTAGAAAACTCCTTGTCTTCCTCACTAGTACTTTCTCTTTGTAAGCCTTCCTTGACTTCCCTGCACTGTAATTACTCCGCATTTGGGACTTTCCTCTATGACAATATATTTTACTATGGGAGCACAAATATTTGTTCCCCTCCCTCCACTCCTTCTGCATTCACCTAGCTATTGAGAGTTTCTCTTATGAATGTGGTATTTGGCCCACTGGCACAGAATACCTGGAGTGCTTATTTTTAAAATGCTATTTTCTTGATCACACCGTAGGCATTGAATCAAATTCTCTGGAAATGGACCTCAGGAATCTGTATTTTAAAAACATTTTCTTGGTAATTCTTGTGCACACTAAGTTTTAAGAAACAAGTGTTTGATAGACACACCCTGAGGGAAGGGACTGTGCTGTCCATGTGTGTGCTCCGAGCCCTACAAATAGTAAACTAACCATTCATGTGTGTTGAATGAGTAAATAAAAGCTCGTATAGTATTTTTTATATATGATCTTGGGGTCCTAAGGTAAATGTTCTTTATTACTGCAGATTGGCTCCTATTTTGGTAGTGTGCTGTGTTCAGTTGATGTGGATAAAGACACTATTACAGATGTGCTCTTGGTAGGTGCACCAATGTACATGAATGACCTCAAAAAAGAGGAAGGAAGAGTCTACTTGTTTACCATTATAAAGGTAAAAATAAATGTTTAAACTTATGGTTTAATTTGCTTTAATACTGATAAGTAAATGAATTTCTGTTTTAAAGAAAAATGTATTATATTCGAATAATAATTAATTTGCACTTATACTATGGTTTTTATGTCATGTCATCAATTTTGAGGATTCCTGTTAATTTATCATTTAAAAAACACATTTTTACAAGGCCTAATTAGAATTTAAAGTGCATTCTACTTTCTGTGAGAGGTCTGAATATATATTCTCTTATACAAATAGGCCATTATAAGTCACATCATTTTTTAAAAATATATACACACATGAACATTTGTGTATTTCTCAAGCATCTCATGCAATTTTTTGTAAAAATATAACAACAATACTATCTTTTTTATCATTTTACAGTGAGAAAAATTGTACCAGCCACTTTAGAAACTTCTGTATAATTTCAGATGTTTTCTATGTGAATTTGCTGGAAATTCCATTACTTAGTTTGACATTTAGGTATATGTCCAACTCTTGGAATTTCACATCCTTGTACATAAAACTTAACTTCCTCAACACAGAAAATCACAGTATTTCTGACTGTAAATCCATGCATGTACGGGAGATATGAGAAGAGGTAGAAAACCCAAAATATGAAAGTGGTTGATCTTCTCACTCCAGAGGAACTAATACAGAAACCTTAAAGCAACAGAGGTCAACATGAGAAGGGGATCAGGAACCAGTGTAAAGATCAGTTAGAGATGAATCAACATGGGTCGTAACACATTTGTACATGAAAACAATGCTAGGAATCTCTCTGTATAGTTGTGCTTATCTCAACTAGCAAAAACGCTTTGTCTTCCTTATTATGCTTATGTCTTCTCTTCCACAAAATTAGAGATAAGGGAGAACAGGTTCTGCCTGGAAGCGAAGGGGGGAGGAGGGAGAGGGTGGGGGAGGGGGGCAGGGGGGAGAATTGACCCAAACAATGTATGCACATTTGAATAAATGAATAATAAAAATAAATAAATAAATAAATCCATGCAGGTAAGAATGTAGAATGCAGTGAAACAGAAAAGAAAACTAAAATTAAAGGCACAGGTTGACATATAAAATTAGACAACTGTGGAGGTTAAAAGGAAGCTGCTTAGTTGTACTGTTTTGTCCTACCTTATTTATTTAAATTAATGTAAAAATTAAACCTCTAACAGAAGCAATTAAAACAACTTTAATTCTACATGTCAAGAATGTACAATAAAGGAAGAGCCTATCTACTTACTCGAAAATTTAATAAATTTCTAGTTTCCTCAATGTTTTTACCTTGTCAGATATTCTGGATTATCATTAATTGTTGATGATGAAGATACTTATCAACACTTTTCTAGCTCAGTAATGAATTAATTTTCACAAAACTGTAATAGAGGAGAAAGAATCAATGATCCAGTTTCATGATTGAGAAGCTCTACTGTCTTGTGAAGTCATGAAATATTTTCATACTTGATTACAAAATCTGAAGGAAAAACTGTATTTTTACAAAGAAATACCGATTCCTTTGGACAGAATAATTTAGTATTTCTTATAGTAGAATATTAATCTCATTGTCCACTTCCTGTCCCGTTACAATTATGCCTCTCTTCAGTAATTTTAAGTTAAATCTGAATTATCATGTCTTATTTTGCCTTGTGTCTACCTTAATTTCATTAAGGACATTAGACTTTCAACAGAAAAATTTTAAATCAATGGTTTGGAATCAGGTGAAGGGGACATGGAGGTAAATATTGAATATTTTATTCAGGTTGTTCATCTGCAGTTAAGACAATTATCTCCTTTCACCTTGGCTTATGAGCAGATGTCCTGGGCCCTTAGTAACTGAATTTATTTATTTATTTACTTATTTATTCATTTATTTTGGTGGTACTAGTGTTAGAACTCAGGACTTTGCACTTGGCAATAAGGCAGTTTACTGTTAAGGAACACTTCCAGCCCTTTTTGGCCTGGTTATTTTGGAGATAAAGTCTCACTTTTTGCTCAGGCCAGCCTGGACCACAATCCTATTTATTCTTCTCTCAGAGCCTGAGATAACAGGTAATGCCACTATGCCCAGTTTCTTTCTGTTGAGATGAGGTCTCACGAACTTTTTTGCCCTAGCTGGCCTCCAACCATGATCCTCCCAATCTCAGCCTCCCAAGTAGCTAGGATTGCAGATGTGAGCCACTGGCACCTGGCTGAAATTCTTTTTTATAATTCTCATCACGAATAGATAATTTTTAATTCTAAGTTTAATACTCTATACACTTTTAAATCAGTTTGGACATCATTTGCTGTAAATTTCAGTTGTACACATTGTGAAGTTGGCTTTAATCATTGTTTTTTTTCCCCTTTGAAGGGCATTTTGAATCAGCATCAATTTCTTGAAGGACCTAAGGGCATTGAAAATGCTCGGTTTGGCTCAGCGATTGCAGCTCTTTCTGACATCAACATGGATGGCTTTAATGACGTGATCGTTGGCTCACCTTTAGAAAACCAGAATTCTGGAGCTGTCTACATTTACAATGGTCAAGAGGGCACCATTCGCACTAAGTATTCCCAGGTAATCCATGAGCTACCTGATGATATGTTACAGACTATCATGTTAAAGTTAATGTTATGTTAAAGTTATAAAGTATCATGTAGACCATCCACTCCATCCACCTTAATTTTTAGCTCATTCATTCACTCAAAAGTATTTAGTGGCCCTTTACTATGTGCCAAGCACTGTTCTAGGCTCTGGTGATGTCTATTTTGTAATAGGTCTGACAAAGTTTTACTCTTTGTGGATTTTATAGGCTAATGAAGAAGACATGACCAAAAAGAAATAAGGCATTCTACATAGCAATAAATTCTTAGGAATAAAATATGAAAATATAACTAAAATAGGGAATGAAATTTCAAAGATGAGAAAGAATGACTGATGAGATTTTACAGATTAGGCAACTTTTGTGTGGGACCTAAGGGAAAAAACCCAGGATGAGAATCAGGACCTCGACTTCCATCAGCTCATTCTCAGTCCACTGAACTTCTCATTGTTTTGTGCTGGCTTGTGATCCATATTAATGATTCATGCTGTTTCCTTGATGAGAAGGATACAGAGATCTGATATGATTTTTTTTAATGGCACTTTGTGGAGAATAAAGTCTATGTTGAAAATGACCACATAAGAATAAAATAGTGAGATGGAAATGCTGCCATTTTTTTGCTTCAGCTCTTGTGCATTATAATTTCATGACAAACTTGCTTTTTCAGAAAATCCTGGGATCCGATGGAGCCTTCAGGAGCCGTCTGCAGTTCTTTGGGAGATCTTTGGATGGCTATGGAGATTTAAATGGGGATTCCATCACTGATGTGTCCATTGGTGCTTTTGGACAAGTAGTTCAACTTTGGTGAGGCAGTAAGCACCAAGCCCAAACAAGCTAACTAAAAATGACCTGCTATGCTGATATTTAGAAATGCTACATGGATTATATAAGACTACAGAGAATTTGTGTACCATAATTTGCAAAAGGAAGGACTATGCTTTTCCTGGTGGGAATATATATATAACATATATTATTATTATATACATTCTCTTAACATTAGAATCAAGTGTTTCTTCTCTATATGGTGGAATGGAACAGTGTGTAAAAAAGACAAAGCCCTTGAAATGATATCCAGAGAATTACTGAATTTTATCTTCTTATAAACAGTCTTACCTAGCTTACATCAAGCAAGCCTCAGGAGAGTACAAGGAAAATACTGGATATTTCAGACTCCACAAGTAAAGTGAAATTTCTTAGGTGGTTAAAAGGTATATTTTAAAATTAGTAGTCATAAACATGAGCCATTAAGTTTAGCCAACCTCTTACTGACCTCCATAGGAGTAGAAGGTTGGGGGGAACAAGAAGAGATTCAAAGGCCATGTGATTAAAAGTCAAAAATAAGTCTGTGAACTAGGAATAGAATCAGAAAGAAGTTGATTATTCAATCAAGAGTACACATTCCTTCATTTGTCTGTGTTAAAAAATGTGCTTTAAATGTTCAAATGTGCCAAAACCAGAAAGACATTCATTAGTGTTTTATGATTCCTGAGTTTAATGATACTATTTACAAATTTCAGTTGTGCTTTTAATGAGTAAAGTATATTGTTTTATTGCAGAATGAAACTATTACGTGAAAAAAATAGAACCCAAGGATACTATTTAAGACTGGGAGAACAAAAAAATATGTTTACTGAATAAAATTATTTACAATCACTTAAGAGTAGTACACAAAGATTAAATACAACATATGATAAATTATATGGCTGATTTTAAACTGCTTTAATAAGAAATTATATATCTCAGAGAACCTTACAATGACAATGTAAAGATATTGGTAAGCTTCATACTTGTAGGCTGTATATTTACAATACTATGATACTCCTTTTTAAAATAGTCAGTGATAGGGCTAAACTTTTCTCTTTGAAGATAGATTTGATTCCTCAAAAATGTCAAGATTCATTGAATCAAACCAGTGTACTGAGATGATGAGTCAAGATAGGCTAATATTATTTTGTGGTCATACTCCTATACAGTGCTGAGACTGGGTTTTCTGGGTAACTCCCTGAAAATAAATAAGTTTACAAAATATGTAGGTCAGTGACATCTCTTTTGGAATAAATGCTCAGTCTCTCAGAAAGATTGCCTTAAAGAAAACATTTTCTTAAGCATTTTAGATCTTATGAGCTCAAGGATATATTGGATTTGTTATTAGATAGGTTATGAGTGCTTATTAGGAGACCGGACGGAGACATATTAACTATTCAAGTAATTTTTCAATTGACTAGAGTCCTTCAGGAGGTACTTGAAATTAAAAGGAAATATTTTCTGTATCTTATTGTGGTACATTTCAAAGCAGTGAATTTACTACTTATTAGTTGCTGTTTAATAAATAGTGGTAGGTATAATAGAGGGTATCATTATGATAAAGTATAAACTCCACTAATGGAGGAATTAAAATACTATAGTTTCTAATTTCTCATTGGTTATTACTCAATAAATTGGTAAGCCACCAAATGTCTTGTGTCTTAGATGGAAATGATATTTGTTCCAACCATTTCACATGAGTATTGTAAGGAGCACATAAGACAGATATCTAAAAGGCTACACCAGGGTCAGATGTATAGCATGCTGTCTCTGGTGGACTCGACAGTCATTTTCTGTCTTCAGGCTTGTCACCACCATCATGGCCATGTTCCACATTTTAAAGGATCTCTGCCAAACAGAGGTAGCAGGGGAAAAGCTGCTACCACACTCTTCAGCCCTTCCACCTCCACCTTCCTACCTTCCCCCTCCCCTGTCTTTGTGAGAAGAGAGAATACCACTGCCTCAAGTTGGCAAAATACAACAGAGATCATGACTTGGCATTTCATTTGCAAGAAGGTTGCAGATCCCTATTCTGTTCTCATGCAGGTGTTTACTTAATAAAAATATAACATGTGTATTATGCTGATGATGCAGTAACAAAAAGGTAAGACATTGTCCCTGCCCGTCATCTTAGACATTTCAAACAGAAAATACTGCTCAACTTCTTAGGGAGTGAAGAGAAACATTCAATAATGCTGGCAGCAGGTCCTCTATGTAAAGTCCATAGTTTGTGTACTCTGTGATAACATCCATCTATCTATTTCTATTTATGTCTTTCAGGTCACAAAGTATTGCTGATGTGGCTGTAAAAGCTTCATTCAGCCCAGAAAAAATTATTTTGTTCAACAAAAATGCTGAGATAATCCTCCAACTCTGCTTCACTGTGAAGTTTAGGCCTACTATGCAAAATAATCAAGTGGGTGAGTAGACCTGAAATAACCTATACAAAGATAAGTTTGCCTGTAGAGTTTCATCCCTGAGCCTAACCTATGATTGGTCTGTAGACCAAAGAAATAAGGATCTTTACTTGCAGACACTTAAAATGCCACACATTTAAGGCACCTAAGAATGACTCATTAGGCATGGAAGGTTTGTTTAGAGCTTCCTCCCTCAGCTTTGACGGTGACATTCTGCTGCAGAACATTGTAATCTCTGTGACATAATCATGGGCTCTCCCAACTTTGTCCTCTGAGTTTCTCTTACTCTCTCTTAACTCCTCAGGCACACACAGACATCACTGAATTGCTGCTGGGTTTAAATGAGTGTGCCATATGTCGATTGTGCCACAACTCATACAGAGCATATTCAGTAAAAGGGCTAAATATTGTTCTATTCCAGAGGAATTAATGAGTATAAAATAATGAAAGAAAACACAGAAAGCAATATGTAACTGGTGGCCATTGTTTTAAATTTTCTAAATAATACAAAGTGAGTAAAAGAAAGTAAGAAAAACACTGTGAGCAAATATTGCCAGATATTGTTATCCTCTCCTCTTGTTCCTTGGTTGGCCAAAAAATCTTTCAAGACCTGGCCGAGGCCCCATATCCTCTTGGAATCCTTTTCTGGCCATTCCATCTCTTTCATTCCCTTGCCCCAATTATCTCAGCACCCTCTATAGGCAGTATACAATTCAACACTTTATTAAAAACTACATTTTTCTGCCTTGATACTATTTTATGGGTCCTAATCCTCCCTCCATCAGATTTAGATTTTAAACTGAAGAACCTTCAGTACCTACATGTACTTACTTACATGGTAAGCAAATAAACTAACTTAAAGGCTGAAAATATTCAGGTAGGTTGTTTGCCACAATTCATATCAAAATATAAATAAAGCAGAAGTTAGATTTACCTCTGGCGTGACTTCCATATTTTTCTACTTCCCCATCCATGTAGAGGTTTTCCTTTTAGATGTTCAAACATTGACACAACTTTGAATAGCATACGAAACAGACCTGCGTTGGAGCACACATCCATCCAAGTCGCCATGATAGTTAAGTCAAATCTACTGCTGTATGAGCATAGTCTGCATAAAAGATTACATTGGGAATAAAATCTATTAATTGGCAGAAATGGCTTCCTGCTAAACTGTCCTGGCCCTGAAGCATGAATGTGCCTTGTGTATCTTGCATCTTTTGATTGTACTTCATCTAGTCTGTTGCCACACATTCACAAATTCTTTCAGAGAATTTCCTTATCGTTAATTGGCTACTGAATGTCTCTGGGCTTTCCTACTATTAGGACTTTCCCTCTGCATCCTTTACCCTATGGTAGAATTAATGTTTTTGGAAGTATATTCAACCTTAAAATATCGAAACTAATATAAACTGATAGAGGTCAAGCTAAGGCCTGTAATCCCAGCACTGGGGAGGCTGAAGCAAGAGAATCAAAAGTTTGAGACCAGCCTCTTTTATAGCCAATAAATAAAAACAAAGATGGTTTTAACCATGAAAAAAATGAAATAAAATATTTGCTAGAATAACCCCAAGCAAAAGTAGTTGATGGTATGGATAAGACCAGATATTCACTCTAAATTTTGGACATGTGGCCAGAGTTGATGTTGTGGTGGTTTTAGACATTGCTTACTGTCATCATTTTTTTTTCTGTTGTTATTTTTATTTTTTTTAATTTTTATTTTATTCATATGTGCATACAATGTTTGGGTCATTTCTCCCCCCTTCCTGCCACCCTTTCCCTTACCTCCCCCCCTTACCCCCCCTTATCCCTTGCTACCTGGCAGAAACTATTTTGCCCTTATCTCTAATTTTGTCATCACACTTTTTTTTCTCATTTTCACTTCCCGGGTTGGATATTATTATCTCCGTTTGATAGTTGAAGAAACAGAAGTTGAAAGAGATTAACTAAGTTTCCCAAAGTCACAGAGCTCATAATCTGTGGAATTAGTGTTCAGATTAAGTCTATCTAACTCAAACCTTACTACTGCAATGTTGCATGCATTTCCCCATGAAAGCATCTAGAAAATACCAGGCTATGTCGAGGTTATTTTAAAGGATTTCAGCTAATCTCCACATAACATTCAATTCTTACAATAGCATAGAAACAGAATGTGAGCTTTCCTCTCAAAAATACCCAAATTTTATTTCTAACCATGCCCTAGCTATGTGAATTTAAGTGAATTATCTGATCTCATTTATTCTAGTTCATTATCTCAGAAATAGAATTATAATACCTACTTTTCAGATATATTATAAAGTTTGTATGGATAATATACATGGATGTGATAAATAACTAAGGTCCTTTCCTTTTATGTCTGTGTTATGGATTATTAGCCTATGCAGGTAGGAGTAAGTAATTTGCCCAAGTTTATTCAGTAGACTTCCTGGGAGAAAGTCCAATTTTCTTTCCATTGCTCTAAGCTACATTTCTCTGTATCTGTGTCACAATTCTTTGTATCTGCAGTCAAATAAATAATATTCTATCATATGGAAGTGCAAATGCCACAGAGTGTTATCCTTAGTTTATAATTCACTTATGTAAAGACCATTTCTATGTTTTCTTGAAGTCAGGCACCATGTTCAGTAAGATACAGTAAAGCAAAGATGCTTTTCCCTTAGGAGTTCATCTGTAATAACATTTCTTCATGATTTTTTATCATAGCCATTATGTTTAACATCACACTTGATGCAGATGGATACTCATCCAGAATAACCTCCAGGGGTCTATTTGAAGAAAATAATGAACGGTACCTGCAAAAGAATATGGTACTAACACTAGCAAAATCATGCTCCCAGTACAAGATTCACATACAGGTGAGACCCCAGTCATCTCTTTCACTCTATTTCTTCTCAAAGACTAATGAATTCTGAAAGTCCAAAATGGAAGCAATGTGTTAGAAAATCAATGCTTTTCTAATTAATGCCTTTCTTTCTTAATTCCATGAGCAGGAAGTACATTTCCTTTGTGCTAATACTTAAGGTCACATTCTATTTCTATGTATGTTACTGGAATTAATTTTTATTGGGGATTGCAGCTAAAAGGGCTATGAAGATTCTTAAAGAAATTGAAGATACAGTGTTTTCTTTAATGTTTAGCAGGAGTTAGGTGCAATGGCTCAAACCTGTTATCCCAGCTACTTGGGAAGTGGAAATTGAAAGGTTGGTGGTTCCAAAACAGCCCAGACAAACACTGCAAGACTATCTGAAAAATAATAAAGCAGAAAAGGGCTTGGGGCATGGCTCAAATGGTGGTAGAGTGGTTGACTAGCAAGTGGAGGTTCTGAGTCTATCCCCCAGCTCCACCAAATAACAGTAATAATACCAGTTATTATCATTATTATTATTATTCCAATCGTGATTCCAGTATTAGTTTAATGCAGGAGAATGATAGCAGATTATGAAGGAAAGATTAATTGTTCTAATCTTATGCCATAAATAACTACAGAAAATTTCTCATATAAATCAATGCTTCTCAGGTGGAAATTTACAATATCTCCCCTTCACAACCACATAACAGTATTTGAAAGTATAATTTACTCAGGAAGCAATTAAAAAGAGCTATTTTTAAAGTACTTTCCTACATGTGGTTCCCAGAGGTTAAGTAAGGTACATAAGAATTGTCAAGGCAACATTTTAAAAATTCATATCCTGGGTCCCCACTATCAAAAATGTGAGCTTCAAGAGACCAGGAATATGAAGGCTTAAGAGGCATCCTATATATTCCTAATGTAGATGGATGGTACAGAGATCACATGTTATAAGAAACTAAGCATAACAGTTGGAAAAATATCTACTTGATAAGTAGATGAATTACAATCATTGAGTTATTTTGCTTACTGTTTAAAGGTTTCCAGTCCATGAAGTCCTGGACATTTGTTGTTAAAATCACAAAATGTACATATTTTCTGAAGGAAAAAAAAAAACTGGCTTCCATTCTTTCCTAACCTGTGCCAACTGGTGGGTCAAATTACACATGTAATCCGTTGTGGAGAATGAATGCCAGGCTGTTTTTCTTAAAGAACAAAAATTTCTATTTACTATTTGAGAACAATACTGGTTAAGTTCATCCAGTGGGCAAAGCTCTCTGCTAACTGAAGAAGCATTTCCTCACTGAAGCAGTCTTCATTGTCAGGCCTCCCAAAGGGCTCAAGACTTAGGAGTGAAGTCCTTCCAGTAAATGGACTCAATGATAATGAAGAGAGAGGAAAGACAAATTTGAATTTTATAATTTTTTCATTTATTTAGACATTGTTCTTTTCTGACAAGAATGAAGGAGGATTGTAAGATAATTAGTTGATGACTTTGGCAAACCTTTTTTGGAATTTTTCAGTATTTCATTAGACAAGATGTTTCAAAAAATTGGAAGGGGTCCATGCTTCTGGAAGGCTGCAAGTCCATAGCCCTCTATACAGAGGCAAAGTGGAGAAGCTGTATTTGTATGGGGATGAGGTTGGCTTTCCTGAGTATTGAGTGCATTATCTTTACATTCAAGGAGCAATGCAGCTCTCTGAACAATCAGCTCGGGCCAGAGGTTGGGGAGGTTGATTTAGGACGTGGGAATCATCATTCTCTGGTTTTGTAGAACACAGTCATGTCCTCCTAAGAAAGGAAATCTTGTCCCTTTCCTGACAGTCAACCTAGACATCTTCGCTACTGAGACAGAATAAGCCTTTTGAGACGCCTAAGCATACTTAAGTTTTGACAATAGGAATTAGAAAGACAGAGTCAACAACCCAAGAGCTGGGTCCTGACATAGGAGACTTCCGAAGATTAAAACTGGACATATCATACAAATATTTATATTTGCTTGTGTATACATAATGAGATTATTGATGAGACCCACTAAAAATTGCTGCTTTAGACTTTTTATTAGAATCAAATCTCCTGAGGTTTCTAAATAGTTTAGAGACTGATAGCAGAATTAGGACAGAGAAGTCTTGATCATTCAAAAAAAAGATAGTCTACATAATTGAGCTCTGACTGTGTTTTTAATTGTAGACACACTTGTCATTTTCCTGTTTTAAAGTGCCATGCTCCAGAACAGGTTCTTCCTGAAAGTGAGGGGGTAGGGGAGTAAGGGAGGAGGTGGGGGGCAGGGGGGAGAAATGGCCCAAATAATGTATGCACATATGAATAAATGAATAAAGAAAAAAAAGTTGCCATGCTCTAGTAATTTACTCTGTGTGTCTGTGTGTGTGTGTGTGTGTGCATGTAGAGACCAACTGATATTGTCAACGCTTTGCCTCTGCGTGTGGACATTGGTCTGGAAAACCCTGGTACCAGCCCTGCCCTTGAAGCCTATTCTGAGACTGTCAAGGTCTTCAGCGTAAGTGCAGCATGCCCTTCCTGCATTTTGACTGGGTTACAAAGTATTATGGCCACTGCAGTACTGTGAAAGATACATAGGACCTAGTCTAGATGTCTTAGTTTTCCAAACGACATTACGTATAAGGTTCACTAGCATGTAAGTTGCAAGAAAGCAGAAATTGTTGTCTTTCTTCACTGCTCTACTGTTTGTAGCCCCAAGAGCAGTGCCTAGCCCACAATAGGTGTTCAATAAATATTTGTTGAAGAAATAAGTAAGACATAAGGCAAACAACTTGTTCTTACCATCCACTTAAACAAAGAGAGTATTACCAATGCCTATGAACTTCTGTGTCATTATATCTACTTTAACCTACCTCCCTCTAAAGAAACTATTGTCTTTGTATTTATCAATACTTTTCTTTATGATTTTGCTAAACCTGTACATATTCCTAATGCATTGTTTGGTTTCTCATGGTTTTGAACTTTATATAAATGGAATAATACTGTATGTGTGCCTTTGCACTTTGCTTTTTAACCCAAAAGCATATGCATAATTGCTTCCCCCTTTTTTGTAGATTCCTTTCTATAAAGACTGTGCTGGGGATGGAGTTTGCATCTCTGATCTGGTCCTAGATGTCCAACAGCTGCCAGCTGCTCAGTACGTTCTATTTTACCTCAGTGGAAAGAGATGATAGAGTTGATTTCTTCACTCAAACTAAATTTTGGAGATATTTTCTATAAAAGAAATATTCATAATAGTAATAACCTTTAAAAACTAAATTTCAATTTCTACCATATAAATAAGAGTAAAGCAGTAAGAAATATAAAATCACTGACATCTGGATATTTTCCCAGTAATGTAATTGAAAGCAAAACAAGAAAGTCAAATAGCATTTATTACTTTGTATCATTTTAACTTGAAAATTTTTCCATTATTAAGTATTGTTTTTAGTGTTTCAAATAGAGTTTCTTTCTTAAATGAATAAAACTTAAAAATTTTTAATGGTTTTCTTTTACTTCTTCTTTTTTTTTTTTAAACCAGGGAACAACCTTTTATTGTCAGTAGCCACAACAAAAGGTTGACATTTTCGGTAACACTGAAAAATGAAGGGGAAAATGCATACAACACTGCAATTGTTGCTGAATTTTCAGAAAACTTGTTTTTTGCTTCACACTCCATGCCGGTATGTGAGGACACCCTGAGCACAGCACAGTTGTGTTTCCTACTTGCCATCAATGACTGTTTCCTTATACTCAAACCTCTGTGTCTTTGCACTTGTCTGAAGAACACCTTGACACCAGCATGATCAATCCACATGAGAACATAGTCTGGCTCCGTATCTAGACCAGGTCTGCTTCCCAGCTTGGGTCACTTTTTCCTTTACCCCGAGAGTTGGCAGCCTTAGTGAGACACTCCAGTAACTCTTCTCGAGCCCTGTGTATTGAGGCTGCCGTGCAGATGTGGTGCACTTGCTCCAAGGCATTTGAGCCCCACAGCTGAGCCTAAGCTGCGCAACCACAAGTCCTGCTGCAGCTGCCAAGACCATGCATTCCAGCAAAACCGAGCAATCCCGTTGACCTGATCACTAAACCAGGAACACGCTTGACTATGAGGGCCTCGCTCCCTCCTTGGCCCATAAGCAATGAAAAGAAAAGGGAGAGAAGGAAAAGCTATTTTCCAAGGGAGCTACTTGATTAAAGCATTAAAAAATGGTTTCATCCCATTTAAAGTCAATGTGAACTCAGTACATTGAGAATTCTAAACCAATCCTGACCTTGGTGTTTAAGCAACTTCTTTAAAGAGAAAACAAACTACAGAAAACTAAAAATAGATTCTGTAGGTTGTTTAAAAATACGATTTTTCTTCTCTGAAAATATATTTCACAAAAATATTAAGAAAAAATATATATACTAAAGATTACTGAATATTATATTAAAGCTATTTGTAGTTCTAGAAAATAAGAATTATCATTTCCTTCTGGGGGCGGAAATCCCCCCAGATACATTTGTCAGGTATATCTCTAGAGCTAGTAATAAAAACAGTATGTTAGCCACTTGGACAGTTTAAGAATTTCAGGTCTTTGAATAGCAATAAGCTATTTTAATGTGAACCAATCTTGTTGTCCAAATCCTTATTTGTCTTTCAGTGTGGGTACATACACCCAATAAGCAAACCGATTATTATTTTTTCTTGCTCTTGTTCAGGGTGATGGAACAGAAGTAACATGCCAGGTTGGTTCTTTACTGAAGTCTGTTACCTGTGACGTGGGCTACCCTGCTTTAAAGAAAAATCAACAGGTACACCTTGCTGACCAAACCTCAGCACTCATTAATTTACCAACATAACATGTCTTTAAGAGGTGTCATCATTTGCTAGACATCACAAAATAACCAGCTGCATACTAAGAAGAACTTTCTTAACTGAAGTTTTTCTTTAAATTTTTAATAAAAGTAGGATTTTTTTCCAAAAACACATGCAACATGGAAAGTTCTTTTTGTCTGAATGTGTTGACCAACATTGGTCAAATGCTGTAGAAAGTCACAGAAATCACTTGTTAACCTCTGGTGAGCAAGCTTCAAATCATCTGAAAGCTTTGCGATTCAGACAAGTATATGTGACTGGGTAACTTATATGTGTCAATTGAAAGGTAAGCTCTCCCAGTTCTAAAGCAAGCATGCTAAGCAAGGTGGACAAATAAAGATTGTTTACAAATTTCAAAGCTTCAAGTATATAAAATTTAGAATCAAATTGAAGTGAGTTTGCTTTTATGGGGAATATTTTTTCCTGGTATAAAGCATCATAGACTGATGGATTTTAATTTTGTATACAGGTGACTTTTACTTTTAACTTTGACTTTGATCTTCAAAATGCTCGGAATCAGGCATCTGTCCATTTCCAAGCCTTCAGGTAAATCATAATGAGGTATGAATTGATGATGGATGGCTTTTATAATATGTCTCTTTAAGTAATTTCCTAATTTTTTTTAGTGAAAGCAAGGAAGCAAACACAGCAGATAATTCGATCAACCTCAAAATTCCTCTCCTGTATGATGCTGAAATTCATTTAACCAGGTAGGTGATGCCTGTTATAGGTGGGTAGCCTATTACCACTCCTGTTTATGACACGTTTAGCTCATGAATAAAGAAATCCTCTATATGCCCAGTCTTAACTAAAGAATTTGTCTCCCCCTTGTCAACTGAAAGAGAAGTCCTCAGGCAAATTAGTGGCCTAAGAAGACCTTGAGCAACTCTTTAGCTTAATTGACTTAGAACAGCACCAGAAACACAGAAAAACACATTTTGCCCTATGCCATGGGGAAACTCCCCTGTAGATCTTCAGTGGAGGTGCAAACCTTCCCAAGATGTTGAAACAGACTCTAGGAGCCCTGAGAATTTGTAGCACTTTCTACTCACTGCCTACTTCCTACTGTGCATGTGAGGTGTCAACAAATATTCACATGGAAGTGGATCCCCTGGAACATGGAAGCCCCCAGCACCATACTTTGCACCTAAGAGGTCAACACATATTCAAGGGAGTCATAGAAACTATGACTAGAAACTAGACCAGTCTAGTTTCTGAGTGGAAAATTTCTGATGCAAGTGATTGGGGTTTTCTTCCAACCAAGAGGAAATGAGGGATTTTCCAAAGGAAGTCATTCGTGAAGAAATGCTTTATTCCTCTTTCTTCCCTTCCCAAAGCAAGTAAACCTGAGAGCAGTGATTAAAAGATTGCTGTTATCTTGAATTGTTCCAAGGGACAGGTGTAAATAGGTTGTTAGCAGCTTAATTCACAGGCTGGTTCATGACACAGACACACTGGAGCGCAGCCATACAGGTGCATGGGCCCAGGGGCTGCCTACTTCCAAGCCTAGTAACCAGAATCCTCTCCCTGGTGAAGTACCGAGCAGCTTCCCTGCACAAACCAATGACCCCTGAAAAACATGCAGCAGAGTTTCCCCAAGAAGTCCCATGAAATCAGGCTTTCTTACTCCTGCTTCACCACCCCAGCTGCTAAAAGCATGGAATATTTCGATCATACAATAAATCACTAAGCAAAAAGAAAAAGGAAAATATGTCACTGTCTGGAGCTTGAGACACATTAGCAAAGATGAGAAAAATGCTTCTGTATCAAGCAAGTTTCAAAAGTACAAGTACAAACAAAATATAGCCCAAACCACCCATCCCTGAAAAATTAATCAGTGACTATGATTTCAAAGGATTCCCAGTTGCAAAAATAAGTGATTGAAAACAAATGTAGCCACAGGGGTTAGTATTGCCACATCACCTGAATTTTTTTCTTCTCACTCTTTCTTTTCCTAAACACTTTTTGTTAATACAGCCTTTTTGTGATTCTACTGTCCTGTGGTGGCCAATTTTTTTCAGATATTTTAACATGAAATGAATATAAGATTGAAATAGGACCTCACATTTACTAATGGACATCTTAGCTCTGCATTTTTGTGACTGGATTCTAATACAGTCCAGTGTTCTTTAAAATATATAGTGAAGTTTAACTATGGAATATTATAAAGAATAAAAGTTAAAATAGCTAAAATAGCACCTAATCCTATACTCAGATAATTCTTCAGAGGTTTTTAAAAAGAAAAGCAATAAATGTAATAGAACATCCAAACATTTTCTATGAAATGAAAGGTCAACCTTCCTTACCTCCCTGTAATAGTCCACTTATTCAGGACATACATTAATTTATTCTGTTGCTAGATGGATCATAATTTATATAACTATTCCAATATTAGTGAGATATTTGGTTGTTTCGCATTTTTATTTTGTTCATTTAACCATCACAAGCAATAGTGAAACAAAAACTTTATGAAACATCTTTGCAAACTTTTGAGAAAAGTCCTATTCAATTTCTTGAGTATATTCCTTAGTGATCATTTTTCAACTGTGTAAATTTTTAGTTATATTGTATAAATATTATGGGTGAAAATAGTAATAGTAGAATTACTTTTGTAACAGGATCCCCCTTAAGTATAGCTAACTGCAACTATAAATATATTGATCAACATTTATGATCAGCATTTTAGTAACTTAGGGAAAACTTTAGTAACTTTAGTGACAAATGTCAGATCTCTTTAAAATTCAAAAAGCAGAACATATTAATCAGTTTAGAAAATGGCCCTGTTTGGGTCTTCTGGAAGGCAGTGAGAATAATTTATATATACGTAGTCAGGCTTTCTGTTTCAAATCCTAATCAGTTTTCCCATTTTCCATGTAAGGCTGACAAATCATTGTTTCCCCTCACATATATAGCTTTGGCAAATCCCACATGAGTTTCCCTATGATATATTTTCCTTTTGAGAAACAGCTTTTGTAAGGCAAAAAGAGAGAAGGGGGAGGGAGAGGGAGGAAGAGAAGAAGAAAGAGGGGGAGGATTCAGTACAAAACCCAAAAATGTATATCTCAGAAAATGTCCAGTTCAATTTTTTAGGAAAGAGAATCAACATCCTATAATTAAGATAAACTGTCCATTGGGAATACATGGAGAAGACATGCATAGTACATTTCCTGACACCTGTTTCTCCACATCCTCAACCCAAACAAGCTGTCCTGGTTTCAGTCCAGCCTCAGAGCACCAGAACAAAGTGAGAATATGGGATATGTCCAGTTTCATTCCAGTCTGAGTGGTTCTGTGGGGGTTCCTATGACCTAACCATTACTCTATATTACTCTACATGCAGACAGTAGTTGGCATTCCCAGGCAAAGACATCAAGGTAAATGCCTCTAGATTTAGCTTAATAAAATTTCTGGGTCATCCATCTTAAACGTGGTCCCATTTATGGTGGAAGCAGATTTGATCAGCTCAATTCAGCTTCAAACTATTATAGCTGGATTGGAACTAGAGACAGATAGGAAGAAGGATTAGTAAAGTGCATTATTCATCCACTAATGAATAATGCAGGCACTAATACCTGGTACCCCATCATTATGTTCGAGCCATACCAAGTGGAAACTTTGGTTTATAAATCTGCTAATTAATCAAGGACTGAGTGTCCACAATGTTAAATACCAGGCAATGTAGTATCAATTTTGAGAAAAGTTCCACTGTCAATTATATAGTAATAATTTTGTACTTATTTTAGAAACATGACAACTGGCAGACATATGACACAAAGAATCTCTACAGAATGACTATAAAGGGATATGTTTGGAAGGGAATTTTTTACCTTGAAAAACATCATTGGTACATAGACCAGAACAAGCATTCATTTTTATTTAGCACTTTAAAATTCTTATAATATAGATGAGTATAGAGCAATAATTCAGCACATACATAGAAGGCATAATGATAAAAGTAGAGGAAACTGGCATTTCCATCTCTATCCTTCCCAGACTCTTGTCAGACACAGAAAGACAAATGTCATATTTTCTTTCATATGCAGAACCTAAAAAGTTGATGTAAAGTAGTCATTTTGTGCTTTTATAACTAAAGTAAAACGTTTTCCTTGTAATGTAAGCCAGAAGATACTTAAATAGAAGATTTTAATACTCAAGAACATTAGCAAAACTAAAAATTTGGCTTTACAAATGTCATCCAACAGATCCACCAACATAAATTTTTATGAAGTCTCCTCAAATGAGAATGTTCCTTCTATTGTGCACAATTTGGAAGAGATTGGTCCAAAATTCATCTTTTCCCTTAAGGTTGGTAAACTTGTAATTACAGCAAGTCAGAAAGAAGAAGAAAGAAAAAAAATTGGTCTGGCAACAGAAGAAAATAAAATGAAGTTGAAATACACCAGTGATTCTCAAACTTGAGTGCACATTAATATAATCTGAAGGTTTATTAAAACACAGGTTGCTGGGTTTCATCCCCAGAGTTTTTGATTAAATACGTCTGGTGTGAGACTAAAAATGTGCATTTCTAACAAGTTCCCAAGTGACAATACTGATAATGCTGGTACAGTTGCCATACATTGAGATACACTGGGATAGATAATATATATGTAAATTTGAGGCTCTGTGCTTAGTGATGTGTCAGAGACAAGACAAAAGTTCAACATTAACAGACAAGGCATCACTACAGTGCTATTACTATGGGCAAATTTCCTCAGAGGAAAATCATTACATAAATTGATTTTGGGAAACTATTTCTGTTTGAGAAGCTCACCAATTGTATAGAGTACAAATATGGGTTTTGCACATTCACAATAAGTAGTATCTACATATATTCTCAGTCAAGTTCATTAGACTATGACTGTGAGTATCTATGAGCAAGCAACTATTAATCTAAAGATTGTAATCAGTTAAGTTGTGGAAGAGTGACTTTTCTATAGTATAACATTTACAGAAACTTTGGAAAATAAAAAGTCACCCACCACCTTGAGTGATGACTTTTTTAATATCTCCTACTAGTCCTTTGAAAAACTGCTTACCCTGTAGTTTTATTATTTTAAAAAAAATATACAAAATCTTAATTTGTTATCCAGATACTGGAATTTATAAAATGTGGATGGTATTTGGTAGCCACATTCTTTAATAGGATATTGAATCAACTCACAGGAAAAGCAGATAACATTCATAAAACATTCAATAAGTATTGGTGAAATATATATCACTTAGTTATATATAAATTATTTAATTTAATTTCAAGACTAGTTGTAAGGTCAGTACTCTTATTATTCTTAGAGATACTATTTAAAATTTTTAATAACAATAGGGTGTTGGCACTAGCCAATTAAAACAGAAACTCCATCAGTGAGAACAGGTGGTAGACCAGCCCATACCTACTGAATTTCTGGTTATTTTTATTTTACAGCTGGGAAACTGAAGCATAGAGAGATCTTCCTTACCCAACACATGCCACCAGTCAGTTGCAGTTGATACTACTTTATAGTTTCCCCTCATCAACCTGGGGCTTACTGCTCATTTTCCTTGCATCATGGGCATCACATGTGATTGGGGAGTTCTTTCTTCCCTGTGTAGGTAACAACAGGAAGTGTTCCAGTAAGCATGGTATCTGTAGTCATCCACATCCCTGAGTACACCAAAGAAAAAAACCCACTAATGTACCTGACTGGGGTGGACACAGACCAGGTAAGGATAACAAATTTGCCTATAAAAATGTTTACTTTTAAAATATTTGAAAATATTTTAAAATTATATTTTGAAATATAATAGCTGTATCGGAGAACATACTGTGATATTTACATATGAAATTATAATATATCTTATTTAGATTTCCTCCCTTTGTCATTCTCCCTCTTCTCCCCTTTCCCCCTTCTTAGAACTATTTCAAAAGGTTTCATTCTTCTATCTTCAGATATGAATACAAAATTTATTTACCCTCATTCCCACTTTCCTTGTGCCCACCCCCTCTGACTGGTCCCCTCCTCTGGAAAAGACCTATTTTTCCTTCCATTCCTTAATTTTTCAGATGTATATTGATAATCCAAAGATGTTTTGCCTTGGTATTTCAGATATGTATAGATCATGCTTTAATCAAATTGACCCCCTCCCTTCCCACTACTTACCATTCTCTATCTCCATGCTTCCCTAATATTTAACAACTTACAGTACAGGTCATTTTAATATGTTCATATGTAGATGGGTTGTCTCAATATTTTTTATTCCTTAACATTTTCTTTATCTCTCCCGCCTCCCATACTCCTGCAGTCCCCTCAAACAGACTAATACAATTTTGTTCTCTCTCACTATACACACACATACACAAAACACACATGTGTGTGTGTGTTTTGTGTATGTGTGTATATAATGTGTACTTTCAAGGTGGAAATAACCCATGAGTTTGGGGCAATTGTGTCTGACATTTTATAGTTGAGAAGCAAAAGATAACACCTATTCATACTGGGTGCCAATTAACTAACATTTAATTTCATATTAGAAGCAGAATACTGTTAGAGGAAAATAAATATCTGATTCTTGGTATTTACAGATGGCAGAAATTATTCCCAAATCCCTGTTTTTCCCAAGTGATGATTTGAGTTTGCTAGGGTCCTGTTAGGAGAGAAATCTGAGGAGAGGTTGAATCTACTATGGGTGCTTAATAAGTCCACAGAGCCACAATTAGTAGCTATTCGTCAACCAGCCAGTCTGGAATTCCACTGGGTAATACTCAGCCCTAGCTATTTATTTTTATCACCCTAGCCACCTTATAAAGAGGTGTGATGTACAGATGGTAGGAGAATGTGAGAGTGCAAGAGAGAAATAGAGAGTACAAGCACATCACCAAATTGGAAACTAGAGGACTGGAATTCCACAATTGCTTTTTAACATATGCCCCCCCCCACCAATTAGCCAATAGACCTCCTACTAGGCCCCAACCCTTAAAGGTCCCATCCCCTCTCAACACTGCCACCATGGCACCAAGCATCCAACGTGAACTTCAGGGGACAAACCACATCTAAACCACAACAGGCTGTAAAAACCTAGCCTGCCTCATCAATTCACATCAGCAGGTTTGAAATCTACAGGGTTTAGCCTAGCAAGAACAAAAACTTGGGCCAGTAAGCACAGTGAAAGAAGCCTAACAGCCCCTTCCTTCCCTGCCTGGCATGTGACAGTAGGATTTCCCAACATGCTGAAAGAATGTTGAAAAAACATGTTGCTTCCTAAATCTGACATGGTGTTCTTCTTTGTAGGCAGGTGACATCAGTTGTAAAGCAGAAATAAATCCAATGAAAATAGGACAGAGACTTTCTTCTGTGTCTTTCAAGAGTGAAAATTTCCGGCAAATAAAAGAACTGGTGAGGACTGGTTTATCAGTGAAGCGCCTTTCAGCTAATCAGTGTTTGTCTACCAGAATCAAGGCATTTGTTTCTCTCCAATCAGCTGATGTCAAAGAGTTTTCTTATTTTGCCTGCGATGGCTGGTGTGAACTGGGATTTAGAAAGTACCTTCTCAAGGTTATGTTATTGGAATTATTACTTATGCCATTACTAACAAAATACATGTCCACCATTCATGGCATCAAAAGGACACATGGGAAACTACTGTTTGTGCATTGTGCACTTTGGAAACATTCCAAAGAGCTGTGAGGAAACTGGGGTTGTGCTACACAGATGAAGCTCCTTGAATTCCCCTTCCACATAATCACCAATGTCTTAGGGCTGAATGCTTCCCTCCTCTGCTTTTCAAGATTGTATTACCTTCTACTCTCTCTTCTTTGGGAAAGAGATTGGGCTAGCATCTAGCATGGTGCTTGGCACATATTAAGTATTCAAGTAAGTAGACATCTAGCAAGCAATAAACCCTAAACCAAACATCAGCTCTCCCCTATCAGAATATTGACATTTCTTTGCTTTCTTTCACTGCAGTTGTTTTATTTTGTGAAGAATGAGAGAAACAGAAAAATATGAGAATAAAAGAGTTTTTTCCAATGTGCATTAGTTCACATATAGCTATATATGTAGGCTTTTAAATAAAAGGGCCATGTTATCTTTTGGTCTGTGACAGGACAATGTGTCATAGACTATTTTTAAATAGCCTAATTTTTAATCAGTTTATAGCAAAATTGTGTGTAATTTACAGGAATTTTCCATACAGGGAGTCCCTACATTCTCATGGCCTTCTCCACTATCAAAACGCTGACCCAGAGTGACAGTGATGCATTGGTTACAGTTGATGAACCTACATTGACACATCATCATCCTATATTTGACACATCAAGTTCTATATTTTATGTTAGGATTCACTGTTAACACTGAAAAAATCCACATTACAGATTTTTTACACTCTACTTAGCATATATTAGTTTGCAGGGGAGTTTCATTGTGACATTTACAAACATGCTTAAAGTGTATCTTAATTAGATTCAACCCTCCCTCATCATTCTCCCTCAAATCCCGCTCCTTCCTAGAACCATTTCCACTGGTTTCATTGATCTATTTTCATACACATAAAGTATGTCAACCATATTAGCCCTTCTTCATCTTCTCTGTTTTCCCTCACCTTCCTACTTTTACTCACCCTTGGACATGACCTGTTCTATCTTCCCATTTTTGTTTTTTTACACTATGAATTTTGACAAATGTATAAATGACCTGTTTCTTAGGGAGTAGTTTCACTGCCTTAAAAATCTGTGCTCTGCCTATTGATCCCTCCTCCTCTCTAAACCCTGGCAGGCACTGATTCTTTTACTATCAATTTTTTTAGTCTAAGAAATTTACCTTTATCATTTGGTTTAATGACTAAATTGTACTACATGTTGTTTATGTTCAATAATTTTCTTATGCAGTACATTGTTTCATGTTTGCTTGTTTTGTCAGTACTGGAATTTGAATTCAGGGCCTCATGCTTGCTAGGCAAGCACTTTTCCAGTTAAGCTATGCCCCCAGGCCTTTTTGCTTTAGTTTTGTTTCAGATAGCATGTTGCATTTTTTCCAGGGGCAGGTCTTGGACAAAAATCCTCTTACTTCTGCCTCCTGATTAGCTGGAACTATAGACATGAACTCCCATACCTGGTTTGTATTTTGTTTTTGAAATAGAGTTTTGCTAACTTTTTGCCCATGCTGGCTTTAAACTGTGATCCTCCTATCTCTGCCTCCCGAGTAGGTGAAATTTCAGGCATGAGCCAGCACTCCTAGATACTTAACTTGTTAATAATCATGAGTTGATTTTTTTGTTTTAATCTCAGAAATAGTAGTGCAGTAAGTAAGCACACTTCTGACTATCTCCTTAGGCTATATATAGACAAGAAATGACTGAGGCAAAACGTGTACTTTTTACATCTTGAGACAGTACCAGAAAGTCTCCTGAAAAACAGTTATAAGTACTAATAACTCATCAGATTAAATGTTTCCCTAGATCCTTCCAAGCACTGGATTTTATCTATCTTTGTAAAATGTAAGCCTTATTTTTACACCCATGCTAACTCCCTTCTTTTATTATTGACTCCCACCTGAAAGAACTGCAGAACTGTTACCTGTAGGAATGTCACATGCTGGCTGAAAGACCTTCACAAAAAAAGAGAGTACTTCATCAATGTGACAACCAGAGTTTGGAATGGGACTTTTGCTGCAGTAAGTACCAGCTTTATTTATTTGGCTCATCAACGAAGTCCTTACCCTTTGAGGAAATGGTGTTATGGCTAGTCACCAGGGCCCAAGTAACCCAGAGCATTTATACTCTGGAAAGCAGTATGCTGACATCTCTTTCCAATGCTCACCCACTCTGGCTGTGCCTCATGAAAAGATTTGCTTCTTAGACTCCATCTCAACCTAAGACATCTACAGGAATAGCATCAAGGTTACCTTCTGCTGTCCTTGGATACAAATGGTGTCTGCTTGTCCCCACATTTCCCTCTTTCCAATCATCTCCACCACACCCACATCAAGATGCATGTGTCTTCCATCTCCTTGAGTTCTCAGCTGATTGACTGATCTCAAATCATCCAGTGATTCAATCCAGCATACGGGTCCATCTTCGTGGGTAACTACTCTGCTCTCCTGTTTTGTCCTTCCTCTGCTGAAAGAGCTGAATAAGAACACAACTTTTAAGTCATTTCAATCCATAGGAGAAGTGAAAGAACATGCCATAACACTGTCAGTGTTTTCCTTCCCATAGGAGTTATAAGTCTATCCTAGTAATAGTTTCAGCATGAATTTGGGTAGCTGGATTTCAGTCTGGCATAAAAAAAATTATAGGCCAGCCTCCTTAAAGTGGACTTCTTGAGTAACCAGCTCTTTGTTTTGTCAAAGATTTAGGTGGCAAAATAAAAATTAGTCTGAAACTTCCTGGGGGCCCATGTGGCTTTCACTGGATTTTTTCTCAAGGTGCTTACAACAATACTCTACTTCCTAGCTTCTCACCATTTCATGATTTCCTGTAATCTCCATCCCCTGCTACGAAGTTTTGTGTATGCTTAGAGAAATGTGCTCCCTCTGACTTGTCCCTGGAGTCAAATATTCTTGAATAAAAACATGACATCAAAAGGAGTAATAAAAGATTAGGAAAAAATACATAATTGGATTTCCCTTTTGCTTGCTTTCTTTTGTTTTCTTGTTACTTGTGCTTCAAAGCCTTCAGGACAATTCTAAGTCCTGTAAGACGTGACATATGCTGTTGGTTGTACCGCCTTTCTAGCTGCTGAAGTTTGGTGCTTAGTTTTACCAATTGGTTCTTGGCTCCTTGAATTTAAGGAACAATGTTTGTATAGCAACCTGACTAACTGGGAAGGAAAACTTTTCCTCATCGAAGTACAGTCACACCAGCTCTGTAAAAAAGCATTTGGTTTTTCTTGAGTTTGCTTAAAACTGTATCACTTTAACCATAAGATTTTTGAAAACTACCTTTTGTAGTTTTCAGAAGCAGCAGTTTCATTCCTGGGAGCAGACTTCTTAGAAAGTGTATAATTATCCTTTATAGAAAGTACATTACTTATCTTTCTTCAACACAGTTATGTTGGCTACACTGAGGAGACAGCCTTGAGAATGATTGTGCATCAAGTCTTCCACAGCTTCCTCCTTCACGAAGGTCCAGTGTTTTACCCCTCACCACCTTGATTTCAGATATTTCAACAACACAGTGGATATTCCAAAGACCACATGGGAGAACCAATCTAAATGGATCTCCATCTCATTTCCTTTATCAGGGCCCACTAATATACTGCTCTCTGTTGGCACCCTTTTTTTTGAAGCAGTGCAAGTCAACTTAACATTTCTCAGGATTAATTTATGATACAATCTTCATCTTGAGAAAATTAAGAACAAACAGAGACTGAGTTAGTAGGAAGGAAATAAATTGTTCACTTTTTGGAAATATATTCTCTTTTCTCTTGCTGGCTCCAAGATATAGTTTAGCAAATTACTTCATGGAGTATATTGGATCTTGTACCCTAGTAACCAGAAAAACTGAGTCTTAATAGCCAGAACATGTAAAAACAGCTCTAAGAGTTGAGCCTTGTATTCTATTTCACCATAAGCATCAGGCCCACAATCAGCTTTATAGAGAAAATATTAACATCAACAGTGAAATACACACATCAATCACGTTTTCATTGAAAAATAGGTTCTCTGTAATTACATAAAGAATGCATGTAAACATTTCATATTAGGAGGCTACTAGTAAGATCAACATAAAATAAATGCCCTTCCTACATCTTTACCCCATAACTAGTGTATTTGATAGAAGCATGTAGATTAGAGAATCTGAAATTATTCCTGATGAGCTGTGACATGACAAAAGGTTCAAGGTATCTGCTGTTGACATGCATGATCAACTTGAAGTGTACTTTTTCCTTTGTTAATCAGCATATATTAATTATACAAAATAATGGGTTCATTTGACATGTTCGATTATGTATATAATGTGTTTTTACATACATATATCAAAGAAATTCTCTTTTAAATATTGGTTTTCCTAGATCATGTTCAGGGGAGGGCATAAGTGGGAGGAGAAGGGTAAATGCAGAGGGTAAAGGAGGATGAATGTGGCTGGGGTACTTTCTATACATGTATGAGTATGGAACATTGAAACCTGTCGAAGTTATTTTAAGAAGGTAGAATAATGTAAGGGATGAACCAAACTTGGGTCTAATTTCATATATACATATGAAAATGTCCCAACAAAGCCCACTGTAAAACTATCATATACTAATAAAAATATTTATGAAGAATAAATAAATACTGACTTTCCGTTACATGTGACTCAGGCAGGTAGGGATGTAAAAGTACTGTTTGTGATTTTCTTTCATGCCTCAAGCTTTATAAAGTTTCAAAAGATGTTAAGTATGGTGTTTCCCAAATTAAAAACTTCATTTAAGAAACCATTTTCCTTTCCAGCATTTTCAAGTTTGAGTCACTGGCGCATGTATGGATGTCACTCCCAGAGTCTGAGTTAGTTTGCAGTGGCAGGGTACAATCAGCATGTTTTAAACATTGCCCAGTGTCTTCTGATGAGCACAGGAAGATTCGGGAGTCTTCAGAACTGTCATTTGCTCTTGTGACTTTCCACCAGAAAATAAAGCATAAATCTGCTGAGTTTTCTGCATTTAGTTCTGCTAAGATAAAATATTTTCTTTCCCCTATGTTCCAGTCAACTTTCCAGACAGTACAGCTGACTGCAGCTGCAGAAATCGACACCTATAACCCTCAGATATTTGTGATCGAAGAAAACACTGTCACGGTGAGCGACCACCTCCCTACCTAGAGTAGCTATTGTACTTGTCAAAGCACATCCTCATTCTTCTCACCTGCATGCATGCAGAAGTATCTTACCAAAACTCTGAGAATTGATGTTTAATACACTGAGCATTGGCAAGAGTGTTTGCTGCTCAGCGTTCAGTGATACACTTTCCCTCCTCCAGGCCCCCCATGTTGGCAAAGCTGGCTTTCCTAGAAGTGATGATCCAAAGAAAGGCACAACAGAAGGGCTCTGTCTCATTTGGGACACCATGGTGACCCTTCTCCATGCCTAAACCAGTATTGCCAGCTTTTTCTTTCTCCTATGTATGCCTATACAAAACCATCTGCATCTTAGGCTATAAAATCTAAGTCATGCTTATGCAAGTCATAAGTTGTGTTTTGGAGTATTTTTAAGGATATGTGCTGAAGCATGCCTAATAAGGTATTTACTAAAATTTTTTTTTATAAATAGTGAGTCGTACAATCAGACACTTACACTTTGTGACATGTTCATTCATGATCTTACATTAAAAAGAACTATAAATGCTCCCCTTGATAAAAAAAAATGGTTCTTCAGAGAAGTGTACTTTGACAGAAAACAAAGGCTCTCTGTTTCAGGGGCTGGCGTGGACAACTTTCCTTTGCACTGAAACTCTGGTTAGCATATGTCATTTTTAGATGTAGCAGGATTTCCATGCCCTACTAATCTGCTGGCAGAGCCCTGAGCATTTTCCTCCCAAAGCTTTTGTTAAGAGCTGGAAACCAGCTCAGGACTGCCCCCAAGGCCAGCTGGGCAACTGGCCCCCATCCAGCTGCTCCAGCCTGCAGACATGGTTAAAAAGCCAATGTGTGGGGTGAACTCTGGGTCTCTCTCAATGTCTGAAAGCTCACAGCACTGTTGTCCCCCTCTTGTCCCAGGGAAAATGATTCCAAACAATAAAGGACACTTTCCTGTCTCGTTTAAAAACCTCGGTGAAAGCCCACACCCTCTTTCCAGAGGCTGGGCATGGAAAGTAAGAAATAGAGCCAAAGGAAATGCACAGACTTCAGAGTTGAACTGCTCTGAACTTAGCCTAGGGAGAAATTACTATAGATTTTTTAAGAGCTCACTTTAAAAAATTTAGTGTTCAAACAATATGCTGTAGTCTGTTTTCTAGAAAGCAGTCTTAGACATATTCATTGAAAATTCAAATTAATATTTTTCATAACCCCATTAGATTTTTATTTTTTTGGTTTTTCTCTGAGAAGTACTAATAAATAAGGGGCCAACTTTTACTTGTGTCTATGAAATATTTTTAATCCAAATAATTTAGATACTTTGAATGTTTCTCATCCAAACAATAAATTGACACATCTCCATAGGAAGACAAGTGATTACCTATTTGAATCCCAGGCCCACTTAAAAATCTGATACACAAAAATTTTGTATTCATGGATCACGACAGATCCATAGACCCCAAATTAGGAAACTCTAGCATACAGAGGAGTAGGCATTTGACTACCAGTATGCAGTGAATTACATGAATTCATAGTAACTATATTTATAAATTTATGAACAATTTCATTTTAGCTTTTGAAGTCACAAATGAAGAAAAGTACACTCACTAAGGCCAATTTTCTGTTTATTCAACTCAAATTACATGACAAAAAGCAGTTTCATTGCCACTGCAATTTAACAGTAAATCAATTAGGTATTGTGCCCTTGTTTTCTTCTAAAATATTTATTACTAATATTAAGAATTTTGTGAAGGAAATGCTTGAGAATCTTTACCCAATGAAAAATAAAAAGAAGAATGTGAAGTGTTACTGTTAAAATTTTTAGGGCCATCATTCCATTACAGCACCACAAAGATTGCTAGGAAGTGGACATCAAAAGGCACTTGTCCTCAAGGCCAAGGTCATCACTGGAAAAGTCAACCCGAGCCCTGAAATACTTTCTCAGCTTTTCCAACAATTGATATGAACCGTGAATGGGATTTAAGAATAATCAGTGTTTTAGAAACTAAATACCAAGTTGTTGAATATCAAGGGAGCTGGGATAAGTGTTCTTCAACTCCCCTCCCCACCATAGTTGGCTTTCGCTTGATGGTGAAAATGTCTGACAGAAACTGAAGCTCCTATTTCATAATAATTAAAACATCTGATGCTGCCAGACATGACATAGCCATGAAATACTGATGCAAATAAATAGGAGAAACTAAAAAAAAAAAAAAAAAGAAGAAGAACCTGTATTCCTTACCTGGATTTTACAGATTTTCTCTAAAAATTGTTCTGCACAGTGCTTGAGAAATGTCTTCATGATCAAGTCATGTCACCTTTGTAGAGCTATGGACCTGGATTTATAGGGTTACAGAATTGGAGTGGAACACTTCACTTTTTTTTTTCTGTGCTAAAATTAGGTAACTTGATCATAATCATGTACTTACAGATTCCCCTTATGATAATGAAGCCCAATGAGAAAGCTGAAATACCAATAGGAGTTATAGTCGGAAGTGTAATTGCTGGAATCCTTTTGCTGATGGCTCTGGTTGCAATTTTATGGAAGGTAAGAAAAGCTTCATATTTTAAAATACCGGGTTTCCAAAGGCCTGTCTTGAATTTCCTCAAAACAGCCATCTTAAGTATGATATGGCATGTCCTCTATCATGCAAGAAATGCAAGTTTGTTTATGATTTCTCATTCATGTCTTTGAAAAACAGTAAGAACTCTATTTCTTTTTTTTTAACTTCTTTTTCATCCAGGAATCTTAACATTTTGTTTTATCTTCAAATAAGTATATTCTGAAAACTTTACCTTTAGACAATTCAGTTGGACTCTGGATATAAATTTTCTCAGTAAGTGGGTGATAGTACCAGGTCAGCAGCCTGTACCACACTCTTCAGAGCCTCAGGACTCCTGGGGCATGGCAGAGAGTGTGGGTAGCAAAGGGGCTCAAAGACATCAGGCCAAATAAGCCATGGGCGTAACATTGTTTTAATTGTACGTATTTATTGGGTACAGTATCTTGTTAGTACATGTGACACGTGTATTCACTGAGTAATGATCAAATCAGGGTAGTAACAGTTTTATGTCATCGCCTTCACAGCTCGGCTTCTTCAAAAGACAGTATGAGAAAATGTTGAAAAATCCAGATGAGACTGATGAGACCACAGAACTCAACAGCTGAGCTACCAGCAGATGCTCCAGCCCAGGCCTGAGACTGTCATGAATAAGTCCCAGTCTTTACATAATGTAATAGGTAAATTAGCCTGACATTTAAAAGAACTGCCGGTCAGTCTGGAATGAAGAAATTGGGGAGGGAGGGTTAGGGGTATAAAGGGCAAAAGACGTATTTTATACAGGGAAGAAAAAAGTAACATTTAAACTGGCTGGTCCAGAGTTTACATTCTAATGTGTATTGTGTCAGAAACATGAAATGCTTCCAGGAGTGAGAAGTCTTAAAGAAACTGGTAACACATCCTCAGATTTAAGGGAATGTGGAATGCACTCTTTTAAATCATCTTTAACTCAGTAACAACAAAAGTGGAAGTAACCAGTATGTATATTATATATAACATAGATTATATATAATTTATATATAATCTGTTATATATTATCAATGACATGATTTTATTATATTTAAACATATAATGCTGTTGTTTTATATATTATATAAAATATATAATCCATATCATATACTGTACTGAGTACTTCCACATACATTAAACTATTATGAGTGTTATGGTAACAAGTGGAAATCTAGCACAGATTGTTTTTCAATTTTTGCTGTTCATCCACAGTTGCCACAGAAGATGCTTTTAAGTGACAATTTTATTTATAAACTATGTAAAACTTGCTGTTGGCTTCAGTTCTATCTTGCTCTAATTGTCAAGAATACTTGAATAACTGAGAAGAGCTTAGAGTACACCTCCTACTAAGGAATTTCCATTTAAGTTGGTGATCTGATCAGGGCAGTTTAGAAGCCAAGGCACAAAATTTTGCTTAGAACTCATAAATAACAAACTTATGTAAAATCCTGGTGCTAGAGGCCTCATCTATGCTAGAGGAAGGAGATGGAGGAAATGTCCTTTCTTTTAGGACTTGATTAGCTGGCTGACACAGACCTAGTGAATTTTTGAAACAGGAGCAATTTCTTTGGCAACCTTTCTGCTTCCTTGCTAAATCACTCTCTCACTTCCTGGTACCCCCATGTGACAGCAGTCCAGTCCCCTGCAGCCAACCTCCCTCTCCTGGAGTCCAGTTACTTACTTTCCTTTACTCCCTTGCCCTTGCAAATATCCCACACCCTCAGTCACCATGCTGTATACCAAGGATTAGGATGAAAAGTCATCTGTTTAATTCACACACCTGTGTGAATTACTGTGCAAACTCCTTACTTTTTGCAGCTATTTTCATTTGTTGCTAAACAAGAAAGAAAAAAAGCTTGAGTGAACTTCCAAATGTTGGAAGTTTGGGCAGTAGGAACAGGTAAATAAAAAATCTCAGGAATGTGCAAGAAATCATGGAGGCGGCAGCGGAAATCACTAAATTAGCAGGTGCATCCTCTGTGCTTGCACACAGAACACGAGTGGACTTCACTTAGGCAAGTGTGTTTAGAAGGTAGATTCTTCGGCCCCAACCTCTGAGATCCATCTCATTTTGACAAGCACCCAGTCATTATGATACAAATGGCCCTTGAGGAACACTACCCTTTTCTACCTTTTTCACCACTTTTTCTCTATTTCTGAACCCATACATTCTCTAGGAGAGACTGGAGAAGGGCGCAGGCAAGGGCAACAGGACCATTTTATGTCAGACACTATATGCCTAAAGCTTTGGACAAGTCCTCCACCTCTGTGAATGTTAGTGTCATTATAAAATGGGAAGATTGGGTTGGAGCTCAGCAGTGACGCTTTTAGTTTTAAATGTCTACAATCTGGATTTCCTCTAATAGAAATAGTCCTCCAAGAGCTGTCTTGAAGACGTCAGAGGAAAACAGGAAATTGCTTGTGTTTATGGATGGCCTTGACTGCTTTACCTGGCCCCTGGGTGGCAGTTCAGAGTTATCCAAAACCAGTTAATGATTTACTTTGTAGTTACAAAGTGAAACAAACAAAGGGGGAATATTAGCCATAAAACAGCAGGTGTTTATAGCAAAAACAGCATGGTATTCTTTAGTTAGATGTGCCAGAGTCTACTTTTGACAGCTGTGTGGACTCAGTTTCATTCCAATCAAAATTTTCTTTTGTAAAAATGTGGAGAAACTAGTAATTACATTGATTTAAAAAAATTTAACAAATCATGTAACTACTGCATATATCCACACCAGTGTTTCAGTGTGCTGATACAGTAACTATAACATGTCATTACTTTTATTTCACTCTGTCTCCCCTTCCTTAGATAAGTAAGAAACTAAAGTCACCGACTACACACAATGAGCTTGAGAGTTCTGGCCATCCTTGGGTTAGGTAGGGTTTTTAACCTTGGCACTATTGTCACTTTGGACCAGGTGGTTTTCTGGGGGAGGTGGATATGCCTTGTAGGATGTTGTTTAGCATCATTGCCTCTACCTACTAGATGCCAGGTAGAATCCTCCTCCCACCCCCACCAGCAGTCATGACAATCTTGTTTCCAAGACATCATCAAATGATTCCTGCAATTATTCCTCAAGCATTATTTTTTTATTATTGATGTACCGGGGGTACCTTGTGACATTTACAAAAGTTCTCATAACATATCATGTAATTCACCCCCTCCATCATTCTCCTTTTTCCTCCCTCTTCCCATTCCTGGAATAGTTTCCACAGGTCTCATTTTTCCACTTACATATATGTATACATAATATTTTCACCCTTCTACAGCCTGTCCTTATATGCAAAGGTCAGTATTCATTCAAGAAATTAAGAAAGTGGAGGGTAGTGTTGGAAAAGAAGTTATGGCTTCCATTCAACCACACTTTTGCTATAAAAGTAGAATATAGGGCTTTAAAGATGTCATGTTAAAATTTCCATTTCATAAATGGTATACAGAAAAGATGTACAGAATATAAAAAAATTTTAGTTGCTTTATGCATGACTGCCACACAAGCCTCATAAAATAGTAACATTGTAAAATAGCTTGATGAAGAAACTGTATTGAGATTTAAAATGATGCGTTACTCCTTAGCAGCAAACTGAGAACTCCTAACTGGCCAGAAAATTTTCTAGCTAGCAGTGTTATTTTTATAAAATAGTGAAAGTTATCTACTAGCTGTGAAAAGAAAACTAAAGCCATTTTATGATAGTCACATAAATGATTAGACTAAATTAGAAAAGCTTTAAGTTTATAATGCATTGATCTTGATATACAGCTATAACCCAGCATAAGAAAGTCTCATTAATTAAGACATCCTTAAACACAAGGCAGGGTTCCTTCAACTGAGCTCCCCGATTCATCTTGAGTATTTCAACTTGTTCACATAAACAATGATCTATGCAATGTTTTAGAACTATTCCCTCCCCATACACCTGAATCAACTTGAAAGGCTGAACATCTAGAGGTGAACAATAAACATAGGGGCAAAGTTTGAAACAAATGAAAACCTTCACTACTCCTTTTAAAGAATAAAAATATGTCTATTATTTAAATATAAAAGGTAGCATTATGTATATCTGGTGCGTTTTGGCAGATGAAGTCAAAATGTAAATGTATATATTGCACAACTGCTGTTGGAATGGATATTCTTTAAAGAAATTGTCTTATTTCCTTCATAAATGATGCATAGTCTTTGATGTGATGTTTGCTGTTTTAAATTAAATGTATTTTGCCTTTTTCCTCTCCAACAAAAGTATAAAAATGAATTATCCATTTATAAATCAGGACTAATAACTTTTCTCATATCAAAATATAGGAACCAAACAGAAAACTTTTATTTAATTGTAAACTACTCTTCATACCATATTACTGAGTATCATTAAAAGTGTTTGAAAATAAAGCTATTTTCCTTGAGTTTTGAAAGTTACACATTTCACCGTATCTTATGATTCACTTGGCTTCAGAACACACTCAAGAGTCAATTTAAAAAGACTATGGATATAACTAACCATAAGTATCTGGTCTGTTTAAAAAAAGACAAAAAGACAAACTGCTGTAATGTGCAAAAGCATAATCATAAGCACTATGGGATTAAATATTTCATTTTAATTATTAAACTTGCTGAAATAAGAAACACATCAGCTCCCAACTGCGATCACTGTGTAAATGGCCAGCTGTTGAGTTTGAGTGGAAGAGTGTGGGCTGCCATTTGTATTGATGTGCGAACCCCTCATACTCATCTCTTCTGTATGCCTTCCTGTCCATTGCACTGGTGCTGAAACATCTCATAAAGGAAGCTTACAGCACCAGTGTTTCTGGTATATATTTCATACTAAATACAATGCTGGGTTTAAAAATTAAAAAAAAGCATTAAGCCAGCCAGGCACAGTGGCTCAAGCCTGTAATCCTACCCACTTGTGAGGCGAGATCATGAGGATCACAGTTCAAGGCCAGCCTGGACATAAAGCTCAAGAGATGTCATCTCAACCAGTGGCTGGGCATGGTGGCATGAACCAGTCATCCCAGCTACCTGGAGAAGCACAAATAGGAGGACTGCAGTCCAGGCCAGCCAGGCATAAAGCAAGACCCCGTCTCAAAAACCAACGTGAAAAGGGCTGTCAGAGTGACTCAAGTTGGAGAGCACCTGCCTAGGAAGTGTGAGGCCCTGTTAGCCCCTAGCACAGCCAAAAAATTTTAAAAAGCATTAAGTTTGTTTTTCACAGACCAAGGTAGGAAATGCTGAAGTGCTATAAATATCTAAATTAAAGCTACCATTTTGCCCATTCAGTTAACTAGAAAATAATTTTGTATTTACTCCATTTTTAAAAGATACTTCCTCTTATTTACATTACCCCTTAAAAACTACAAAAAATTTTAAAAATTTAAATTTTTTAAATTAAAAAATTCCTCCCTTATCCTATCATAAACCTTTAATATTTTTCTAAAATGCTAAAGATTATACATCTCACACAATATTTGGGCTTAGTTTTCATTTAAGGACTACTCCAGCCAACCTTCCTTTAAAGAATAGATACTAAACTGAACTTTTTGGTTCAATGTGAAAATCTCAAATTCTTATAGCCCTGGCTATACTGCCAAAACCATAGCCCTGGCTCTACTGCCCTCTGCTGGATAATCCAACTAACTATGCACACAAATCATGACTGCTTAAAGGACAATACATACTTCTTGTATTATACAAGTGAAGAGAGAGGAAAAGTTGTACGTACTCACTCATTCATTTAACTGGATGATTTTTCACATCTGTAAGTGCTACAACTCTAAATGTCAGGTGTGTTAATGAGACATAATATGAAATATATCAACAGCACAAGTATTTAACAAATATTTGAGTGCATACTATATCATAGACTTGTTATGTACTAACCAGTACATCAAGCAGCATTAAGACAAAGGCAGAGTAAAGCAACAGAATTCCAGATTTCTCCTTTTTTTCTATTATTTTTTTATTAGTTGTACCTTGGCAGGGGGCAATTCATTGTGACATTTCTGTATATGCTTACGTATTGTACCTTGGTTAGAGTGTCCCTACAATCTCTTTCCCTCAACACTCCCCTGCTTAAAATGATTGCAAAAGGTGACATCATTTTATTTCATGTAAGTATATAAAGTACTTGGACCATATTCACTCTTCTTTATCTCCTCCATTCACCCCCTCCCACAAAAATTCACCCTCTCACAGAACCCATTTTACAATCCTGTCCTTCAATTTTAGTTCCATATTCATAATTCAAAGGGGTTTCTTGATGGCAACCCAGCTGTGAATGTTCTGTACTTTGGTCATATTGACCCCCTTTATTACTCTCCCTTACCCTTTCCCGCCTACCCCAGGATTCCAGTTTCAAATAGGGTAGCCCCAGTAGGCTGTCTGTAGAGGTAACACTTAGAGACTGAACAAAAGAGGAAGTGGAATATGGGAATCTCTGAAAGGGCAGATAAAGACTCAAAGGCAGTTATAGCCTATGCATACCAGCTACAGCCAAATAGCAAACCTGTTGCAAGATGAGGGGGGTGGGGTGAGGGGCAGGCTGTGTGGGATTGTGGCCATGATAACCACTACAAGGCCCAGGGATATGATTAGCTGAAAAGGCTCTGAGTAGCAGAATGAGTGGTGGAAGCTGAAGGGGACAGAGTGACACAGGCCAGGCAGTAGTCCATGAGAAACAGACTGGAGGCCTGGACCATGGAAGAGACAGTGAAGTGAAGCAGCAGCATCTGGAAAAAGATATATCCAGGCATGCCATTCCCCAGTAGGTTCATTTTCGGGGATCTGAAAGCAAAATCCCAATGCAAGCTTCTGACTCACCATTTCTCAAAAAATGCTGAAAATATGTTGTGACTCTAAACATCATATCCAAAAGAAAAATATTATCAATACTTCACTCTTTGAACATGTCTATTACTTTCATTCAAAGATAAAACTTTTCCATTTTGTCATCTGTTCAAAAACACTTGCAGTATAAACATGAATTTCCTAACTTCTTCAGTGAACTTATAAGCAGTCACAGCTCCAATGTGACTTCAAAATCTTTCAGGCAATCTGCTTAAAGGCTGCTTTGTTTCTTTTTTGTTTGTTTTTTAAAGTTACTCCTCTACTTACTTGACCAATCAAGTTGCAATGGCTACATGTCAGAGAGATGCTAGCTTATTACATCTTAACTACCAATTAACCCTGCCACTCCCAAGAAAGCAAAGATTAATATAGACCAAATTTAAGTACAGTGCAATGCACTAAAAACTTTCAAGGTTGTTCCGTCCTAAGTCCAGTATGCCCTGGATGAATTCTCTACCTCTGTATTGGACACTTAAAAGCACAACAGTTTAGATCTCAAACTTGGAATAAACCTACTTAATGAAGGTATGATTCTTTTAAAAACATTTTTAAATAATGTTCCATGTCTTTTACAATGTAATTACCCTCAGTAAAGACCTTCTAAAAGTAATTGGGTAGACAAATCTTGAAATCCACATGTACGTCATATTAACACTATAACATATATGCAAAAATCCTAGGAATATCTGCAGTGGCTCACTAACCTAATGTGCTTTCAAATATAGTGCAACTGACTGTCCAACAGCAGCCACTGGTTTCCAATGAAGCCAGGATAAGCTTGGTGGGAAAAGAGAAAGACACCAAATTGAGAGGGGAAGGCTAAGACCAGATAGACAACCCCAACTCAGCAGGGAAAGCAGGTGGAGGGTTCATTTGCCTTCCTGGTGTCCTGCTGGCATAATCTGTGGATGAGCCAAGGAGCAGGCACAAGTAACCAGGAGTTCCTCAAGAGTATGTGGTTGTTCATAGATCCTAGCCAGACACAGGATCCAGAATTTTTCTTGTAGAACTTAAGGTTGGAAGACAAGGATGGGTATCTGGCATAAAACAGGCACTGAATAAACATTTGTTGAGTAAGTCCTTAAGTAAAAAGTTTTCACTGAATATAATAAGTAGGAAATTACAGGTCTCTTATTTGTGACATAAACAAATAAGAAAAACCCCTGCAATCTAAGGGTCTGAAAGTACAGTTTTGTTATTAATACATATACAATGCTAGTTTTGTGATGATGTCAATTACCCAAATTATACAGATACTTGATTATATTAAAAACTAACTAGTTGGGTATGGTAATTCAGGCATGTAATCCCACTACCTGGGAGGCTAAGGCAGGAGGATCTTGAGTTTGTGGCCAACCTGGGCTACACAGGAAGTTTGAGTCCAGCCTGTGCTACATAGAGAGAAAACTTGTCTCAAAAAACCACCACCAAGTTTTTCCACATGATTGATGGATTGCATCCAGGAGGACTCTTTCTTTCTCCTTGGCTTTTTGTGCCTCCTGTTTTAAGATGTGGCTTTGCTTGTTTTGCTCTGGTCTGCTTCAGCCCCACAACAGCCTCTTAAAAGCCTCCCACTTCTTTACTTGTGAGTTTTTTCGGGGCAGGGGGAGGGTTGCAGTAAGACATGCTGCTGTTGCTCTGAGTCTGCTAAGTAGCATTAGAGAGCTAGGTCTGATGCATGCGTGTGAATATGTACATATGCCTATCTAGGGGTAGTCCTTATACCTCGCCAGGAGCTGGGAGAAAAAAAACTGCACAGTTGTCTTTCTCTCATTTTTAATAAAATAGGAAAACCACACACTTGTGCACTCTTCTCCCTACTTTTTAAACAAGTGTTATTTGTGAAGGGAAAAGTTTGCTGTCTTTGTAATTTTAAAATAAAATTGAAAAAAAAAAAAAAAGAAAAACACCACCACCAACAAACAACCTAAAGTAATTGAAATTTGGTAAAAGAATACATCAAGGATAGGCATCTTAATTTTCTGGGCTGGGCTAAACACTTCACAACACTTCACAACATCAAGATTTATCAAAACACCTGCTAATTAAATATACCTGACAACATTTATTTGTCAAGTATGCCTCAGTAAAGCTGGCCTACCAAATTTAAGGCCCCAAATTCAAACTCTAGGACTGCCAAAAAAAATATTTAGTATAAAAACTGGTTTGAAAATATTGTGGAAAATGTAACTGCTTATTAATGACTTCACTAATTAATTCAGCATAAACATTCAGAAGGAAAACTGTGAATGCTTTAATAAATAATCACATAATTTCTTATATTAATGTCCTTCATATAATTTCCCTAAACAATTGTGAGTCAAATCTTAAGCATCAACTAACATTTAACACAAACCACCCTGTTGCTAGTTGGTTTTATAACAATTTTATGCTAATTTGATACCAAATTAATAATTAATAAAATACAAAAAGTATTATGGCACAATTATAGATCTAAATGTAGAAGTCTCTATAATATAAAATATTGTAGCTATTATCACTGAATTCTAAAAAGCAGGAAAATACTATTTTTAAACATTGTAAATCATGAGTTTATTTTAAAAATATGTAAGTTTTGAAAATACATACTATATAATATCAAAACTATCTGGCAATAACTTTCCAGTTCTGCCAACATTTCCATAATGCATCCCTGTTAGCAATACTGTTGTGTACTGTGGGAGGCAGAGGGTGCTCTGAAACAGTTAAAGTCACTGAACAGGGGCCACACCTCAACATAAGTTGAGTTACAATTAGAAATTAGTCACAGAAAGCTAAGTCTACCACAGACATCTTTCTTCACATTTACACTATCTCATTTCTTCTGCATCTCATCTCCTAATAACCCTTCATCCTACACAGCAATTCCTTTTCTCCCATGTGTCCCACTGGTACAACACAAGATTGTGTGTCAGTAAACTATCTTCATTTGTGGAGAAAACTCAAAATGTGATCAAATAATAAAAGTTCACCAGATTTAAAATTTAGTGCTCTAAAAATGTAAGTAACTACTTGTCAGTTGCCCAAAAGCATTCTTTGTTTCTTTTCCAAGATGATGATGACTCTTCATATATTTCCTAAAAACAGAAACAAAACAGGTATTCAAAATAGATTATTTTAACAAATGAAAACAAAATACATTGAACAAATCAGACAAATGAATATTACATTTGCTTCTCTTTCAACAAACCCATCAATGTTTGTATAAGGAACTGAAAGCAGAAAAGTTCTCTACACTTAAGGAATCCAAATCCAACTGGGGAAATGACAGACCAGAAAGTATTACAAGACAAGCTGCAACTACAGAAGAGAATAAGTAATTAATTCCATTTGTGTCAAGAGGAGAGACATTAGGGTTAGGTTATATAGGAGAAGATGGATAGTCATCAGTTTTAGACATTTTTTCTTCTTTCCAAACATACTTAGTACTTCAACATTGTTAAAAATGCTTTGCCAAGACAAGACAAGGCATAACCTGTGAAATTAAATGACTACCCAGAGGTTCTTTTATGGCAGTGGGGCAGGGCCATGCTGCCGGTGATGGGTAAGCACTCTATCATTTAGTCACACTGCCAGCTCCATGGAATTTCTTAAAAAAGTCTGAGCTTCATTCCAATGTGAAATATGAAGTGCTCTGTGAGTATGCAACTATCTATCTGCCATTCCTTTCCCTCCATCTCAGATTATCTCCTGTATAGGCTTGGCTGAGAACTAGAATTTAGGTAACTGTGGAAAGGAGGGGGAAGAAGGACTTACCACTTTTTCGTACCATGCTAATCAGGTTCCATTTCAGTGGGAGAGGAATTCAAATTCAGCTGTCCTTCAGTTCATTCATTATAGTTTTTACCTTTTTTTTTTTTTTTTGCAGGGGAGAAAGGTAGTTATCTCAATCTCTGCTTAAATTTCTAAGAAAATTTCAGAGCTGCTTTTCTGAGTTGTCCCAGAGTTCACTGAGATTTTCTCAAAGCAGCCACTTTGAATTCCTGATCTGAAGGTCTCCATTTCCATCTAATGAGGGTCAGTCACTGATCCTGACCAGTGACAGTTCCATTTGGTGATATCATGGCTTCCTGTTTGCTCTAAATTCTAAGGACACATGTTTCTGAACACCTATCCCTTCCCCAAACTCTCCCAGACAGAGAAAGGAAATAGGAAAACCCAGCTACTCCTCGAATTGTAAAAGTAAGGATATACCCCAACTCCCGCCCTTTGCCCTCATTTTCTGGGGCTACCCCTTCCTCTATTTTCTGCCATCTGACTGTCCCTTCTCCCCTCCCTCATAAAGAAAGGTATTTTTGCCATCTAGGTTTTGAAGTTCATTCGGAATGTTCCTCCTACCTCTTTTGGGCCTGCCTCATGTTCTAATAAAATTGTGACTGCCTTGTTCATAGCAAACCAACTAGATATTTGAGCTTCACTTCCAAAAGTATTTCCTAAAACCATAGTCACTACATTTCCCAGGCCCTGGTTCATAGTACTACTTGAGTGGAGGCTCCTGCAAGGACAGAGAAGGTCACCATTAAAGTCCTGGCCATCTGCTCTGTTCTTCTGATCCACAGAGATACTCATTAATTCCTCAGCTTTGCCAATAGTCACTACGCTGAAGGCAATTCTGGACTTAGATGTGTAATTACAGCTTTTCAAGTGCAGAACAATCTCACTGTCAATGTAACAGCATCAATGGAGAAATTAGGAGATTTCATCCCTCAGAGCTCTGTTTCACTAGAGAATTATTTCCTCTGGATTAGTTTGGCTTAGTGACATAAAGTCAGAATTTCCTTTTCATATTTTCTTGACACAGAATCTAGCTATTTAAGCCAGACTGGACTTGAACTTGTGATCCTCCTGTAACACAACTTGTGATTACAGTTGTGTGCCACTGCATCCAGCACCTACTTATGTTTTTAAATCCATTCACTATGCATTTTCTCAGACATAGCAGTATCTCATTGTTTTGCCTGCTTGGTTGGTTATTTTCCTAAAAATAGGAACATTAGGAAAAGGTTCTTTTGCCTTGAGGAACTTCTCTTTTAACCAGTGTCTAAGTAGATAGATATTATTCTCACTCTCCAAAAGAAAGATTCTCCAATTGACTGGAATTCTAATCCATGAAAAATGATTCATTCATGAGCCACTGAACAGTGCAGACTAGGAATTCTAACTAATAGTGCTTGTTAAGGTCTATCCTGTGCTACACATTCTTTGGGGCACTTATTTTTCATGCTTAACAATTCTGGAAAGGAGATATTACATAAATGCACTATTTCACATTTAAGGAAAACAAGATTCTATAGTCAAGGTCGGCACATGAATACAAAGCATTATTCCTTACGTTTTACCTAAGCATTCCTGAGAAAAATCATGTTCCTGTGGCAAAATGAAATATTTTCTTAGCTTACCTTTTTCCATATGGGCACCTTGGCTTTTAAAGTATCTATGGCATAGCTCACAGCTTCAAGGGATGCAGCCCTGTGGGCTGAGGACACAGCAATAATTATGCTTGCTTCTGACACTGGAACCAAGCTTTAACAGGATGAAGAAAAAAATTACCATCATCTCCTAATGTATATGTTAAAGAATCTACTACAGAAGTAAAAAAAAATCCAGTTATACATTAGAACTATACTGTAATTCTATTTTATTTAAGCATCAAGTTTAGTTAGAAAACAGTAATTCTTCCCAATTAAATTCAGCAGAGGTAATACTGAGCTGATGTTGTGGATAATTTGTTAGCACCTATTTACAAAAACTCTTTGATGGGGAAGAAGAAAGGGTTCTTTGGATGACTCAACATACATCTGATCCAAATAAGGCACAGTGCCAGGTAGTGCCTAGAGATACAAAATTACCATGTAAATGCAACATATAATTTAAAGTAATAGCAATAAATATTAAGAATATTGAAAATATTAATTACTAATAAATTTACTGGTTATTAATAAATTTATACTTAATAACAAGATAATTAATATGACAAATGTAATCTTAATTTTTGGCTTCATTTTAAAGCCTAGAACTCTGCTCTTTTTAGTGGTACAAAAAGGCAAACTATTTTAATCATTCCATTATCTGTAGCAGACTCATATAAACTGAGTCCAGGGCATAAAATAATTTTCAAAAGGCCTCAAGAACTTTAGCACACATTCATCCAGGCACATAGCTCCAGGGCCTGGAAGTCTTGGTACATCTGCAATTCATTATAGCAAAAGAAGCAGTTCAAACTGAACCAGAAGCCATTGAAGGTATTGGTACCATCTCCACTGTCCTCCAGAAATAACACACAACACACAAATCTTCCTTTCATGGTAATTAATGTAGGATTCCTAAGAAAGCATCCAGACTTAGCATCAGTACAGAGATGGAAAACAACTACACTTAACTTTCAAATTGGTAAAGCAAATCATACCCAAGTCGATGGAACACTGCTATGTGTTTAACTGGCCATTTCTGCCTAATGTCACTATAAATTTTTCTGATTTCATTTTCTGCCATTGGTAGGTATGCTTCATATTCTAAACTAATGACCTTTTTGCCTTCAAAGTTATTTCTTGTAGTCCCTAAAAAAGAGGAAAAAAAACCCACAATTAAAATAAAACTTTCCTTTACAATAGAAATCATACATTAACAAATAAAAAAGGATTATTTCTGAATTGTGAACAAGCAACTTGCCATTTGTCTAAAAATTACTTTGAACTTTTCTAGAAACAAAAGTTGTTTAGGAAAACAAAAGATAATTATCTCAAAGATGGTAAGAAAATAAAATTAAAATAAATAAACAAGGTGACTGAAAACATTCATTTGACAAAACAGGCTATATTCCATTTCTTACTAACTGCATTAAATATTGAAAAGGAAAATGTTTTTGTTCCCAGCATATGATCATGTACATTTTTTCCTCAATATTTAGAATATACAGAACTTTCTCTCCTAGCAAAAACTTTTATCATACCTCTTTTAAGCCTGGTAATTTAATATAGATTAATCTGAAGGTTATTAAAACTATCAAAAGAAAAACTTTCTTAGTTTTTTTAAGTTTTAAGAACTTTTTTTTAAAGTTCTATCCATTTTCATGAGCAACTGGAGTTCATTGTTTAGTATCTTAAATCCTCTGACCATTAACGATGAACATGGGGAGCCCTTACTAATTTCTACTCTCTTGTGCAGTTAATGCATACTGTGAAATTACAACTCACCTACAAATAGGGATATTGCACCACAAAGGGGAGAAATCACCAACTGTGAGACTTCATCTACTGAAAGATTCTCAGCAGTGAATTTTATTATGTCTTTGGGTTTCTCTTCAACTTCATCCATATCATTCCTAGAAATAAGATATTAATAAACCTTCACACATACTATAGGCAAAACATTGAACTTATTAGGCTGTTTTCATCTATGTTTTTCTATACTAAATACGTTAGAAGGCATAACTTGATCTGAATGATAAAAATATGCAAGTATAAAATTTTAGTAAAATTAATATATTCATAAACATCCCTAATGAATTAGACATTATAAAGGGATCCAATGAGAATGATCTCTAAAATGTAATCTGTCTCATATGCCAACTTACTCCAATCCTGTAACTACTACTTATGTCTCTCATCATTGTGTAATTGAGATATCAACACTTTCATTTACATACACATCACCTCTAATCACTATGTAACCAAAACTTACACCTAGAACTGCCGTTTCCTTTAATCAAAAATGAGAGAGGGAAAGCAGGAACATGGTAATTTCATAGGAACTAAGTTCCCTCCACAATCTGACACAAGCCCCATTAAGTTACAGAGGAAATAAGGATATAAACTGCACACCTATCCCCCAGGTGTTCTGCAGTGTCTTGCATTTCTCATTTAATTCAGCAAGCATTATCATGTACTCACTAAGAACCACTAATACGTACTCACTAAGGGCTAGAGACTGCCTTAAGCACCAGCTACAAACCAGGGAACAAAAGTACAGGGTCTTTTCTTCAGGGTGCCTATATCAGAATGGTTTCATGAAGTGAAGAGCTTATAGAAATAAACAAGGTTCTGAGACAGGGCATGAGGGCTATAAGAGGTAAGGGGATCCAAAGGTCTCTCTTAAGAGGCAATACTTAAAGCTGAGACCTAAAAGAAGGCAGCCATATGGAGAAACAGGGAAAGGGCCCCAGGTAAACAGAGGGGATGACAAATGTGAAGACTCTGGAGCAAGAAAGAGCATGAAGTGCTCTTCAGGAGGCAAAGTATAGAGAGAGCAAAGGAGAGAGGAGGCCCTCAGGCTGGACCAGTAAGTAGGCTGGACCATAGGAAGTATAATTATAAATCCTGAGGTTTCATCTGAATTAAAAAATGAAAGGCAGCTCAAAGAAGTTGTTAAGGACTCACTCAAGATGTTGAAATTCCAAACAAGAAGTCTTAATAAATGTAGTGTTTGTTTCCCTATCACCTGCCTACTACTAAAAAGAAAAGTACAAGTATTAATTTACCATAAGATTCCAAGACTTTTTACTTCTGTACATACCATATGTGCTTCTTCTCTTTTTCTTGCAGTGAGAAACAGGTAACCCAAATAGGTTCTATGAGCTTCAAACTATACCCACAACTTCTGATTGTACATGACTATCAAACCTAGCTGGCAGGTTCTAAAATGACCTCACACAAATCCTACTAAAGACACACAAATAATACACAATGATACTGAGTAATCTTTCTGATCTTTCCAAAGCACAGCAGTAATCATCAGAAACTCACACATTTTTTATGACAGTGTACACTTGCTGAATAAATTCTAAATTCTGAAAAAAGCATCTTAGAACCTTCTGAAATTGTAATAGTGATATGCTCATCACAGTGTCCAAATAGAATTGAGATACAGATCTAACAAGGAATTCTATAGTTTTCAGGAGTGGGCCTGAGACAGACCTCTGAGGAGGGACATGCTGAGTAATCAACTCTCCAGACCTGTTCTTCATTTTTTGTCACATTGCCCTCCTGAAAAATGGGGTGTTGGGGGGGAATAGATGAAAAATTAAACAGGCATCTTTAGCTTATTCCTTTCTTTAAAGGAACCAAGGATTTGCTACTGCATATATTTATCATTGATTTTGGAAAAAAATATTATTGAAGTTTTTTTCTTCCTAAGTTAAGAGTTTTTAATCAGGGATATAATTGTTAATTTTCACCTTACTTATTCTTCAGATGACAAAAAAATGAGCTTCTTTCTGACTATCCTTAAGAGAAGCATGCTTTCTCCAAATATACTATTGAACTTGTGATACTCCTGCCTCTGCCTCCCAAGTAGCCAGGATTTCAAATGTGTGCCAGCATATCTGACCTCCAAAGTCAAGTTTTTTAACTTCATGAATTTCAATTTTCTCACCAGCAAACAGCGGATATTAACTCTCCAGTCTAGCACTATGCCTGACATATACACAATAAGAGCTCAAAAAAAAAAAAACACAAAAATATGTTAAATGAGTATAATGAAGACATCAAAGGAATATTAAATAGCTTGCAATAGAGTTGATGCAGAGGTGGTAGGTACCAATCAAGAGATGCTGTATCAGTCTAAAAGAACAGGTGCAGACAGACTTGCAAAGAATATGCAGTAATAGCAAACCTTACACAAGTTATCATCTGTATGATCCATCTCCATGAGACTCCTTAAGAAAAGTAAATTTCACATACCTAGATGGCTTAAAAGTTCTACCCTCCACTAATGGGGGGAATAATGGCAATTTCGTCTCCTGGTTGAAGCAGGAGGAGTTGATCTCCAAGTTCGACATACTCTTGACGAACAGCAAATATCACTTGATTTCTAACATCAGCCAATCTGAAGGAGAAAAGGTCTGATGAGAAGTTTCAATGTGTAATAGACTTCCAATCCCTTCAGCTTGAATAAAAGATATTATTGTAAGCCGGGTGCCGGTGTCTCACACCTATAATCCTAGCTACTAAAGAGGCAGTGATCAAGGAGGATGGTGGTTTGAAGCCAGCCCAGGCAAACAGTTCATGAGGCCTTATCTCGAAAAACTCCCATCACATAAAAGGGCTGGTGGAGTAACTCAAGGTGTAGGCACTGAGTTCAAACCCCAGAACCACAAAAAAAAGATGTTATTGTTATTGCAGGAAGTATCACCTGCAAAGTCACTAACTCATATCTGTGAAAAGGAGATATCCACTGAAAAACATAATTATGCATTGCAAAGAACACATCAAACTGCTAACTGCTGTTACTGAGGGCTGTCTGTCTTAAGAAATTAAGCAAGCACAATCAAAAACTAGACTGGAAGGCTTGGACTGCTTTCCTCCAGCCTCTCCCACATGGAAGTCACTGCTCTTTCTCCTGCTTTCCTTTCCTAATAAAACTCTATTGCTTTGCACCTAAAAACAAAACAAAGCAAAAAACTAAACAGGAGGCAACATTCAAATCAGTTCAAAACAAAAGAAAAATTTCCTAGTCAGTACATGGCCCTTCCACGGACCTTCTTTCTAGGTATCCAAGCATACTAAGTAGGTGTAGCCAAGAATCTCCCACTAGACCAGCGGTCTCCCTGCAGATAGGTCAAAAATACAATAGGACAGGGGCCCCATCAGTTTTCACTGATTGTCAGGACACTGTAAAAATAAATTAAAAGGCATGAAGTCAAGAAGGTATAGCTTTCTCTTTAATACATATGGTGAATAGCACTACGTGTTCCAGATTATACAGCTATATACACTTAGGTGGCACCATTAACAGCCCTGGAACACCCTTAAAATAAGTTACTTTCATATTTAGTTTCAAAAGCACATGTGGTAAGAATGATTACAGTAAAGTTATAGATTTTCAAGAATGATGGGGGGATTGATATTGCAAAACAAAAGCTCAGTGGCATTTATAGTTTTGTAGCTCATTCTTCTTTTAGTGTTAGAAATTTCTATTCTAAGTGTTCTAAAGAGAGGAACAGGTCCAAAAAAGAGTTTAAAAAGCACATTTTTAAGAGAATTTGTAAAAATTTCATTTTAGCCTATAAAAATGCAGAATTTACATTTTCAGTATTTTATTAATTACAAAAATAATTATAAATGATATCACCATGTCCGTCTGGGAGTATCTCAGTACACATTCTTTTTAGCAAATTATCTTTAATGTTCCTTAAGGAATTCAGCATTTCTAAATACCAAAGTTTAAGATTCCTGGAGTAGCTCCAGAAAAATAAAACTAATGACCCTTCTTAACATTAAGCCTGGAAATAAAAATTAACCTTTAACTTTTCTCATTTATACATTTTAAAAATAATAAAGTGTCCATCATATGCACTGTACAAATGTTTAATTACCCGGGATGTCGAGCTTCTATCTCGTTCCACAGCTGCAATGCTTTTATTTCTTGTGACACAGAGATAGTCTCTGATCGAACTCCTGCTATTTCAGCACTTTTTGCAAAATACAATACTTCAACCTGAAAGGAAAATGCTTTCAGTAATAACACACAGTCCTCTTCTAACTGCCCACACTGAGTGTTCTCATTTTCCAAATGTATTGTCTGAATCAAAGACAAATTCTGTAAGTAAGGGAAAATTAAACTGCCCATAAAAAAACTTTCAGTATATCTACAAATTTAAATTTTGGAAATAACTGTTCTAAACACAATCCAGACAAATTTCTGTTTGCTTTTTAGTATTACAAACTTAAGTATGCCATTATTAATATCTTAAGTCCATCTCCTTAGAAAACATGTTAAATCTGTCTTCAATTGAAGTAAAATTATAGCGTCTTTTCTAAAAGCAGTGAACAAATGTTTGAATAACGCGATGAATTACACATTTAAAATAAATGATAAATCAGGGAATGACTTGTTTTCAGAGTGGTCAAATCACCTTTGGTTCCAGTCTACATTGGACCCAGAGCCAAGGATTAAGTTATGCAATTTACAAAACCTGACATTTAGATCAGCAAATGGATTTGAAATACAGGATAAACTGGTATTTCCTAGGGCAAACATGGGCAATCAGCCTGGTAACCAGATCCGTCACTCCGTACAACTTTATAAAACCACCACAGCGGGGCAAATAATCCACGGTTTGTAAATCCACAGGTGAAGCATATTCCTTCACAATATTTCTTAATTAAATGCATTTTTTAAACTTAAAAATGTGTCTTCATCAAAACGAATAATCTGACAGGGCCAAAAATGGTCCAGGGACCTTCAGAAATGACCTGGGCTCAAGAGTTGATGGAGTGGACTTGACTTTGGTGCGCAGCAGGAGCGAACCAGGGTGGAGTACCAGACGGTGGGGCCTGGGGACCCAAGACCGGGCCAGGGCGGGGTGCGGGGTACAGGGGTTGAGGGGATTGGGGTGAAGGGAGGAAGAGCTGGCGGACCCCGCCGGGTCCGCGTAGAAAACGGAGGAGCAGACATGTCGGGACAGTTCGGCACCCAGACCAGCTCGCACGCAGAGCCTCGACCCTTACCTGGCATCGCGGAACCATCCCGAGAGCACCCCAGAGTCGGATCAGAACCGCACTGGATGCGCGGCCCAGAGAGCAGGCCCCTGAGGATGGCGCTTCTTCTTAATCCCCGTCCCCGTCCCCGTCCCCGTCCCCGTCCCCGTCCCCGTCCCCGTCCCCCAGCCTCCCCTACGCTCAACACTGAGCATGCGCACCGCTAGCTCCGCCCCCCCCGCACGCAGTACGGAGCATGCGCGTCTCTAGCTCCGCCCCGCAGCCACAGACCCCGCCCCACAGGTTCCCTGAGGACAGCTGCATGGAAAGCTTGGCTGGCCCTCAACGCTGGGTGAAAGCGAGCAAGAGCCCAGAAATAGACGACACAGTCCAAGGTCTTCTCCCCAGGAGGGAGGTCGTTGTACCGCAGAGCAGACGCCTGACTCAGCCTGGTGCCCTGCCACCTGCCTGGCGCAGGTTTTGCTAACAACCCAGCGGGTGAGTTCAGGCTTTCTCACCCCACCACGCAGTATAGGATCAGTGTTCCTTAAGGCTGGGCGCATTCATTCGCGTGTCACGCGATCCACTTTTGCGAGATTGACACTCGGGTCTGCCGGCCGCTCAGGAGTCAGCTCGCAAGCGGTCCATCCTACACCCCCAACTTCCTCCCAACCAGGACCCTACTAAACTGCCGAAGTAGTTCTGGGGATATAAATTAGGTTTCCCTCCCTTGGAGCTCACCATCTCGGGCAGGAGAAAGCCAGAAACATTAATGGTAACTCTGTGTACCAACAATGTTACATTTCGCCGGGCGCCGGTGGCTCACGCCTGTAATCCTAGCTACTCAGGAGGCAGAGATCAAGAGGATGTCGGTTCAAAGCCAGCAGATGCAAATAGTTCGTGAAACCCTATCTCAAAAAAAATACATCACACAAAAAAGTGCTGGTGGAGTAGCTGAAGGTGTAGGCTCTGAGTTCGAGCCCCAGTACCAAAAAAAATAATAATAAAGTAACATTTCATTGGAGTGGAAGAGGGACGTGGCGTCACCTGCGGAATTGGCTGCAGGAAGTCTCCAGAGGAGATGCTTCTGCTAAATCTACAGAAATAATGACAGCAAATGACAGAGTGGGTGTGGGGTGGGGTACGGATTTGCCTTTGCCAAGTCACAGGGAGATAACGCCATGCAAGAAAGAAGGTGGTGGGAAATGAGGCTGGAGAAACCAAGTAGAAGCTCCTGGAAGGAAAAATTGACGAGGATTGATTAACACCAGTATATATTCTGATAAAGTTCCTAAACATTAGGATGAATAATTATATCCAGACAGAAAAACAAGGATACGATGGCAGTGACCTTAGACTTGGTGGCATCCATGGCAATGATGTGCAATATCTAACAAAGGCTGGAAACAAAAGTCTGACCCAAAATGTGATATACAGTCAAGCTAGTGTTTATGAAGGCCAGAGCCTGATACTCCTAATTCTGTAAAAATTCAAAAAATACAGTATTCTAAAACCCTTCTTAAAAATTCTTCATGAACAAAAAACTTTCATTCAAGAAAGTGATATAAATAAATAGCACAGTAATAAAGACACTAATGATAAAAACAAAAGCTTCATTGAGGTCTTAACCCTTTCAAATATAAACAATTATGGGATTATGGTTATAGAATAAAATGAAAATAAATGTCATTTATTATTAAAAACATCTATGAAAATTACAATTGGAACATGTAATTACAAAATGTTAATTTAAGGTTCTCAGTAGTTTTCATTGCCTTTATTTTAGAAGAGTCACTTTGGATCCAGAATAAATAATAATCCGATGATTTATGATTCTAGCCATTTCCTTTCAGTTTTGTTGTTGATGAATTTAAGTAACTAACCCAGCTAATAAAGAGAATCTTTGACTATGTTATGTAGATAGTATTGTGTTATTTCATTTGCATTTTCTGTTAGTGAGGTGAATCTTCTCATGTTTTTACTGGCCCCTTACACTTCTCTGTGAAGTTTCTATTTATGTCTTTTATCTGTTACACAGTATATATATATATATGTATATATATATATATATATATACATATATATATGTATATATATATATATATTAGTTCCTTTTAAATTACACACAACCCTAACTATAATTTGTGGGTATGTAAGAAGGAGTGAAATAAAAAAATTCCCATCCTATACTAAAGACTTTGGCTTTATTTCAATTATAAATTCATCAGTTAAATCAGCAAATGATTAGAATGGAATATAATTAATTATTTTAAGAATAGAAAAACAACTTTAGGAACAATTCACTTAAGTAAAACTATGATTTAAAAATAATAGCTGGAGCCACCATTTTCTCAGCTTTTCTTTAACCATATAGAATCTTATTGGTTAAAAGAAAAGTAAGTGCAAGCAAAAACTCTCCCATTTTATTTCTATATTTTAAAAGGAATAAATTCTGTGAAACTAGAAATACAGGAACATTTCAGGCCTTTAAAAGGGCTGAAAGATGATTTTGCCTATAGTAACAAGTTATCAAAAATATTCATTTCCTTTTCTGAAAAGAGCTAATTCCCAAAAATGTCTGACAGAATCAGAGTTCATTATCAGATTTTCTTTCAATTTTTATGCACATAGGTAACAGAGTTTGGCTTTTTTCTACCCAATTAAAATACCTGCCACCATTAATTCTATTTTTTTCACATTACATTTTTTAGACTCTAACACAAGTGAGCCTAAAATTAGAAAATTTTTATTATCTTATTTCTAAAACCCAACCACCCATCCACCCATTTCAAATTGTTTTTTTTGTTGTTGTTTGTTTGTTTGTTTTGGTGGCACTGGGGTTTCAACTCAGGGCCTCAGGCTTGCTAGGCAGGTGCTCTACCACTTAACGCCACTCCACCAATCCCCATTTCAAATGTCTAAAATTTAAACATTTTGTATCCTCTTTCCAAGTATTTTAACCCACATCCTAATTCCATTTCTGTCCAAATATTTCCTGTCATCATTTTCAGCTACTAAATAGAGTCTAGTGACAGATATCTGTTCCCATTACCAGGAACAATACACAGGAAGCCACTTAGCGTCAATGACTTTAAGGAAATAGAAGCCAATAATCTTATGCTATGTTAAAAAAAAATAGGGAGTAAAATTTGAATCTCATCTATAGGCATCTTTTTACTTTTAAGTGTAGAAGAATTTATGAGTGGTATTATGAAAATACCACTCAGGAAGTCTGGACTGTGTGGAATGGTTTCTATAGTCACCAGACTAATGTCATTAAGGTATTTGGAGTGGTATTTAAAAGACATAGAATATATCATGCTACTAATAAACTTTCACAGTGGGAGGACAGTATCTTGTACATCTAAAAGGTTAGTTTTGAGCCAGCTCTGTGTCTGAAAGAGATTATTTGGAAACGTAACCTCCTACTTGTGTGACTGTATTCAATGATAATTTGTAAAAGCAAAACTCACTATATAATTCTTAGTTTCAAGAAAATTTAGGTCAAAAGAAACACTCCCCCTTGTGGTCAATTATTCCAATTGCAAATCCTTTACCACACAATGAAAGTAGGTGGCTACAAAAGAGCCTTCTGCCAATTGTTTTCTAAGACCAATATGAAATCTCTCAGTTACAGACAGAAGAGGAAAGTCAGATGTTAAATTTTTATTTTTGACAAAATCTAATATGTGTGTATAGATAAATACAAGAAGAAAGAAAAGAGAGTCGGACAGAGAGAGAGAGAGACAAGAGAGACAGAGACAGATACCACATAGGAGTTATTAGCCAATAAAAACCAAACCTGCAAATAAATCTCTTTTAAGGAGGATAGTATGGGGTCCTTGTACTAACTTTTTAGAAGCATTAAAAGGCAGATTTGAAGAAAATAAAAATCTGAAAATCTCACCAAAGGGGAATTGGTGAAGCAGAATTTTCATGGAAAGAAGACCCAACACCTTAGGAAATAAAGCAGATTGAAGGTACTGATAGGTGAGGGGAAGGGACTGAGCAGAGTCCTTA